AAATCAATTATTTCAAATATAGAATTTACTCTAGTTTCTTCTTTTCTGCAGTGCATCTGTTTCATTCGTATAGCTTTAAAATGTCTTAAACATTTCATCATTTTTAAACATTATTATTACAAATTAGTGCCTTTAAAATCTTTAATAAATTAAAAATTATTCTGAAATTATAGAATTTTTAAAAACGAAAGTGCACAGAAAAGGTCATTTTTAAGAAAATTTTCTACGCTCTCTCATACACGCTAAGTATTAGAAATCAGATTTTTTGTAATTTATAACCACGACTAGCTTTTTAATGAAAAATACTACATAAAATTTCTATTTGCCTTCGTTAATTGTTCGTCTACGATTTATTCTATTTGAATATTCCATGAAAATGCTATGAAAGTAGCGTTTTACTATTGCAATTCCCAGGATTATCGTTAAATAGAATACAAGTATCTAGAAACTGAAAGAGCGACGTCACGTTTACTATCCGAATTTTAGAGTGGCGCCATCTAGTGAGGGAAAACTGTGAAAATGAGATAGAGTTTCACATTTTTTCCGCTATTTTCAAAGATGGTGGAAATAAAATGTAGTTTGTGTGACTTCTGGACTGAAAGGGAAGAGATTAAAATTCATGTGTGTAACGAGCATAACATTACTCTTGAATACGATGATTTGCAGTTCACCTCACGTGAAGAATTCGAAAAGTTTAAAGGAAACTTACTAGAAAGTGAAACGAATTTAGGTTTTATCAAAGACTGTTATGGAAGTAAGAAAAATAAAGCGGGTAGACAACACTTTTATTTTGTGTGTAATTGCTCAAAACAGCGAGTTAAAGATAAGCGAAGACCTAAGACCTAATACTGAAAATAAGGGATTAAACTTCTGCGTAGTGGACGCAGAGTGACAGTCGAGTTGCTACGAACCCTGAGTCCCATAGCGACTTTGTTGGAAACACGAATTCGGCGCCACCAGTGAGCAATTCTATTTCGTCTGATATCAACCAGCTATTACATGCTACAACTTCTATTACCAATATGGACACTACTGCACCACCTCAGCGATTTACTTCATCTGAGGATTTCTCGAGAAATGCGATTGAAATTTATGCTCTCAAAAATCGTCATACGGATCTGATGTTCGACATTGAACGTCTGATGAGAACCGAGAATCCAAACAAGGAGGCCATACACTAGCAACTGAACCAAGAGGGTGAGAAACTTTTTTTTTTTTTTTTTTTTTTTTTTTTGCAAACCTTGTGTACGAGCCTTAACTTGAACATTTTTGAAATTCCTGCAACTGAAGAATTCCTCAAAATTTGTACATCCCACCAGACCAAAAATTCGGATACCAAAAACCCTGTTTCTCAAAATCCTGAAATTACCAATAATTCACCCAAGCCTAATCCTTCTGAGGATACTCAAAAAACGGACACTAAAAAACGCACTCGCCCGGTCGACTCAGACGGGTTTTCTATTCCACCCAAACATCTTATCGCCAAAAAAATCCAATCAAATAACCAAATTAATGTCAATAATAACTTGCCTAGCACTTCTAATTCATTTAATAATATTCAGCACACCGCAGAAACCATAGAACCACCCACTCAAAAACCGGCTGTCAATCAAGAGCCAAAAATTCAGGCTCCACCCCCTATATTCATCAAACCAAGAGCTGACTGGTATTTTCTCTTAACCCAGCTCAAAAGACACGCTGCTTCTGTCCAGTCAAAACAGGACATTTATTTCTTAAGACTCACTACTGCTAATGAAGCAGACTACAGAACAGTAGTTAGATTTATAACTGATAATCGTATAGAATTCAAATCTCACACACTCAAGTCAGAAAAACAACTATAAGACGGTAACCGCCGCGCCTCTATAGGCGGAGCTAGAATAGTACAGGAGTACACAATGCAATTTAGAATTTAGAAGTGCATCTGAAGGCAAAACTGTTAGAAGGCTTTCAAAAATATGAAAATATATTAAGTTATGTAGTAAACTAGTGATGAACAATCATAATTAAATCACTAATACATTAAATTTCAAGATTTAGATCAAATGGCACTTGCAAGTTAAATTGCAATGAGTTCTACCCAGTGGGTGTGGCTTGAAACGTCGTAGGTCGGCGGCAGTTACGAGAGGAGTCACCCCTCCCGTAAACTGACTTCGGCCAATGCTTCTTGAAAGTTCACACACCGGTGGAAAAAGAAACAGTACTTGCAGGTAAGCACAGTCAAATAATAAAGTGAAAATGAAGAATTCACACTTGAAAACACACAATACTTGTAAAGCATAGTAAATTAAATGTATACACAATGAAACAGCAAATAGAACACTTGATGAACCAACAACACAGTGGTTTTAGTCTTGTACTCTGTAGCTGTTATTCTCAAAACGGGAAGTGGTGAATTTCTCTATATACAGAATATGTACACAAAAGCAGATACCTATGAGCTAAGCCATTACCCATTTGGGTGTCGCAAAGTCAATCATAAGTAGTAGAAAACAAATTGAAAAATATAAAAAGCTACCAAAGAGCAATGCCATTATTCATAAGGATGTCGCAATGTCCATCTGAGGTAGTTGAAAATACGAAGAATAAGTGAGCTTTAAGCCAAAGTCCGATGCTGTGAGATATTATACAGTCTCATATAATAAAATTGTTTATATATGTTACCGTGAAAGACCGAAATTGGAGAATGTCGACTTTCACCGGAGAATGTCAACATTCACCAAATACGTGGGTGAAAGATCGAATATTGCATTACATTCTTGTACATTCGGACCCTCACCGGTGATGTCGACAGTCACAGATATGTTCTGGTGTGGGTCCAAAAGAGAGGTCATAAAGTATCATAATAGTTAATTGTTGCAATAAAATAAGATTTGAATCACATAATTTAGTAAGTTTTTTATTACTATTATTTTATTTTCTCATTTAGAACGTACTGTATAATTCAGTTAAGTTTTTAACTTCTATTATTTTCCTTTCTCATTTTGAATGTACTGTGTGTTTTAAGTTCTTATGTTCTTAAGTTCTTATTTTAACTCTCAAGTGCGTTTTTTCGCGACTGAATTACGGAGAAGAAAATATAATTTTCTTATATGTTGAACATTCACCATTAGTACATGGTGAATGTCGACATTGACCGGTTAAGTCAGAAATAAGAGTATTTGGAAAATATTTCGGACATACACCAAGCGACTAGGTGATTGTTGGCATTCAACGGTGCAAGTCGACATTCTCCGGATTTCGGTCTTTCACCGTAACATACGTATACACTATTTACAATTCACCACTTCATATTATGGAAGATGCTTCTGGGCCTTTTTGCAGCACATTCCAGGGTAGGATCATAATTAATTAGCTCCCTTATATGGTCATATCTTGAGTTAACTATTTTTTGAAAGAAATTGTGGCTTGTAGTGAGTATCATTGCTTGTAGTGAGCGCATTGATGATATCGCGTAGAATTTTATTTTGAAAAATTTGTAGTCTTCTTCTGTAGGTTTTATAAACGGTGGCCCAAACAGGGATAGCGTACAGAAGTATCGGACGAATAAGTGTAATATATATTTTCTTTTTAATTCTCACATTTAACTTGGATTTTCTGCCAATCAAGGGTTAAGAGCAATTTTTGCGACAGTCGCTTTTTCTGAGTGCATATTCGGAATGTTCTTTAAAGAGCAATTGTGAATCAAAATAGATACCTAAATATTTAGTGCTGTTAACCACAGGAACTTCTTGATTATTAATTTTAATGTTCACTTCAATTCGCTGGGGTGAATTTTGGATGTCGGAGAAAAAAGTAAAATGTTGCTTTTAGAGGGATTAATGCTGAGTCTCCATGATTTAAGGTAATGCACAACGTGATTCACTGCAATTTCAAGCTTATCAACAGCAAGTTGTGGTTTCATTGATCTGGTCAATATCGCTGTATTCGCTGTATCTTTCTCTCTCTCTCTCTCATCAGCAAACTTAACTATTTTTTGAATTAAGTGGGACGGGCATGTCATTTGTATAAATGCAAAAAAGAACTGGGTCCAAGAACACTTCCTTGTGGAATTCCGCTTTTGATATATTTCTTCGTAGAATAAGTGTTGTTAATTTTTACTTGAAAGGTACGGCTTCTCAGATAACTTTTTAGAAGTTTAATGAAGTTAATTGGCAGATGAGCAAGGTGTAGCTTGTAAATTAAACCATCATGCCACACCTTGTCAAATACTTTTTCTAAATCCAAAAAACAACTTGCAATTGTATTCTTTTTAACAAATGAATCAGTGATATACTCTTACGGCAGGTTGCTCTCTGAATATTCACAAATAAATTACTCTTTAAATCAATCCCATTTATTCACAATTTACGTAGCGAAGAAAAAACAAAACATTCTACAAAACATATCACGCCGCGTTCATATCGCTAGCGATAACAGCACACGCACGAGGAAGAACTAACTACAACAAATCAGTTCACTTCACTTGAGAGAAAAGTACATAGTTTAGTTGCAGGACTGCTATACATGAAAAAGCAAAACAGTTAACATTTAATTTAAAAGTTCGTTGCATGGTTGCTGCATACTCCCCTCCCAGTGTCAACGATATCGTACAGGGAAATGAAACTGCGCGGTTTTTAACATATGAGAGCATTCACCGAACTTTTCAGACGCACCTTGTAGATATAAATGCTTTCCCTTTGCATTATTATTATTGTTTGTGTACGTTTTGACGAATATTTAGTAAACGAAATTAAAAATTTATTTCAAATACTTTGTATTTAAGAAATGTTTCTGAACATTTCCCCCCCCCATTTTGTAAAAAAAAGGGGGGTGAGAGAGAGTGAGAGAAAATATATAACCTATGAGTTATTTTTACATTTTAGATCATGGACTCATCCCACACGAAATTTGAGACCATTCTTTGAGGTCCAATAATTAATTAGGAAATATTTTTGAGAGGTGGAAAATATAAATTTTGCAGAATCAAATTTAAATTAAAATTCCTGAAACCTTGAGAGGAAATCTAAATTTTATTTAGACAAATGTTATACATATTTCAGAACTGTTTAAAATATCTGCATTCGAAAAATGCATTATGTTTGTAGAACAAATACAGTAATGATAATAACAATGTTCAAATTTTCTGAAATTTTTATATCTTCAGTTGATTTTTCTACCAAATATGGCATCTGTTTTTTCGAACCATTGCTGATTCTGATGAGCAATTGAATTCTTCGGCAAATTCTGGTAGATTAGACAATGCTCCTGGCACTCTGAAATACAGAAAATGTTTTTTAGGTAAATGAAAAAAAAAAAAAAAAAAAAAAAAAATGTTATTTCTTTACTTCAGTGCTCTTTCTCATAACATCCTTTCTTATTTTTCGGATATTTTCTGTGACTGCTTCAGTGTGAAACAGAAATACGCAGTGTGCACAGAAAGTGCACGCTGCGTACATTTTCAATACTTACTTTTTCATTTTCAATACTTTCATTACTTACATATAATTTCAGTTCATTTTAATGCCATCACACTATCCCTATACTTATGTTTAAGAAAATTTTATACTAGTTGTAATAATAATAATAAAAATTTGACACTTGCACGACGGAAGTTGACTTCGATTTTACTTTGAACATTTTGGCTACTTGATATCATTTTCAACTTACGGACACGGTCTGTTAATAAATAAATTAGATTAATTAGAGGTTCACGTTCCCTAAAAATGCCTTTCAATAATACTCTTTTGTTATTACTAGCGTGAAATCTTTAACTTATATATTAAATTATTGATATGATAAAAGAATTTTCACAGAAGTGATTTCTAAGATTCCAAATGCTAAATATACGTTTAAATATTCTCATGTATAATTACTTTAGAATCGCAATCTAATAATCATATAAAAATGTCCTTAATTAGAAATGTTTTTCATTTTCAATTTAGGTTGAAAATGTTGGGAGTTAACCATGTGCCTGCCACTTCCAATCAATTCAATAAGATTCTGGTAGTAAGACCTCCCTTTTGAAAAGAATATTATATTAATCAATAATTTTTACAACAATATGAATAAAAATGCTCATTATTTAATCTATTAACATAAGAAATCTCTTTCTGAGTCGATGTTTTATTTTTTTATTACTTACAAATGCAAACATTTGCTCTTTGTGTACACTCCATGAACACAATCGCCAATTAAATTGGAGAATGGCAACTTAATTGGATATTTCGTTGAATAAAACAAATTATCTCGGTCATTTTTTGCTGTAGGGTGTCACACATTTTGTTTTCTATTCCTTACAATGAGTATAAAAGTTTCCCATACAAGCATAGGAACAAAGAGAAGTTATAAAAAATTCAATTTCGTTCTTTTTACAAAACTGATTTGTTTAAATTTAAAAATGCAAATATGTGTATTTAAGTAATATAAAACATTTTTGTTATTGGGAGTATACTCGTTACCAGCGAACGTTTATCAACCAGCGAAAATAAAGGCTGGACGTAGATATTTGCGGGCACTGTATATAGTAGTATTAAGTAACTAACATTTTCGAACCAAATTATTTTTAAACATTGTTTTTGTAAATTAATAGTTATCAAAGAAATTCATACCAACCTAAACCGCATTGGAGTGTGTGATTCTTGGGTAATCTCTGCCCTCAGAGCTTCTGGTCTGACTTTGTTGCACCATACCTGAAATAGTTGAAGATAATTATTACTTTGCATTATAAGTCATATTTGTGCTATTAAATATAGTAATGATATAAAAGGTTGCATTTAAAAATTGTATTGCCGTTTGTTAGACATCAGAGGTAAATTAAATAAATGAATACACGACCTGTCAAATGAATGTCATTATGCTGACTTGGACCCAGCTGAACTCCCCCGATATTAAGACGCGGTGGGCAATCCAATAAAGAGCCACCTTGGAGATGGTCATAAACACTCTTATCGAAGATCCGAGGACCACATTTTCAAGTAAAACATCAAATAATTTTACAAACGCACCGCTGAACTGGTCTACCAGTGCAACCGCCCCAGCGAACAGAGACCAAGGCGCGGTGGGGCTGAATGCCTGGGGCTTTGACTGGTTGCCTATGGCGCTACCTACCAGTACTACACAAGTTGCCTCTCTCTCCAGGCTTTACACAGAATACGGAGGACAACGTGGATTGGACGCTAAATGGCCCAGGCGCTATTCCACTATTGATACCTAGTTAACGGGGACTTAAAGTCACCAAACCCGTGAAAGGTTGGGATAGACCCTTTCCCACATATTTTCATCATCATTTTTATACCCCTGTGGCTGAGACTGTCTAGGTACAGATCCTAGCCAGTAACTTCATAGAACGCTCTGCGTGGACGACCTGGGGGTATATCAGAGGTAAAAGAAGTAAAATTATAGGGGAAAAGTGGAAACTTTTTTGGCTACTTTTCCGTTTCGCCGGCGCAAAGTTCGCCAAGCAGACTTTCTTGGCGACAACATACAGTATACACATAAAAAATGTTAACGAATGTTAGTTCTAAGAATTTTTTATTTTCAAGCCATAAACATTCTAATATGGTTTCAAATTTCGTAAAAAGACATTAATTTAAGAGTTTACTATGCTATCATGGTACAACATCTTGATTCGCCGCTTCGTATCACGTGACCACAAGTGATCTCATTTCACGTAAACTACGCTACAAAAATCTGATTCTCTCAGTAATTACCTACATTAATTTCAAGTTAAAGCTTAATTTGGAATACAAGTTTGAATGCAAGAATTATTTCAATTCGTACGAAAACTTACTCAGAATTATGTAAAACCGCAGTGCTTTATTTCATTAATGCGTTCTCATTAGAATAGATGAATTTAACTCTTGATTTTGCCTTTTCTATATTTTCGCTTTCAGGTGAGCGGTGTGATTGCATTCTAATTAATTACCGCGAATTGTTTTAGGGTATAACATTTAACTATCTTGTAAAAATTCTATGTAATTGTATGCCAGTATTGAAAGAAACAATCAATCTGATAAGAAATGGTTGCGACTTGTTTTGAAAAGGAGGCGTAAAAGGTTACCAGCGAAGATACCATTATTGGCGTTGTACCATTATTGGCGACTTTATCGTTTGCGGCGGCAAAACGGAAAAGTACCCTTTTTTGTCATCAAATCACACTGCTGAGCAAAATTAGAAAATCACAATGGGAAAATATGAAAATATGCAAATCATTCCGCAAAGACGTCCATATGCGACTTTCGTATTGAAAAATAGAAAAACATAGGTGAGAAATGAATACAGAAATTAAAAGGGATTTTAATAAGGCAAAGCTATGAACGATAACTGATCACTGCACAGATGCATCCGTTCCATAGATGGAATAAAGGCAAGAACAGGTGTTTAGTAGGGCATTTAAAGTTCTGTAAGAGCTCTGATTACTTTGAAGCAATTACTCATGCTTAGTTGATGGTTGGTAGGCCGTTTGCAGTAGTACTGTTTATTTCTCGGCAAGTGGACGGGCCTTAGATCAGTGGTCTCAACCTCAAACTGCGTATGGGCCGAATTCCCCATCTGAAAACAGCTGACAGGTAAATTTTTTAAAACAAAATTAAGAGTTTTTTTTTATTAATAAAATCGAAATTTATTTACTAAATATTTAACAAAATATACATAAACAGTAAAAATAATGATACGTGGAAAAAATTCAGATGTTTCCTTATTTTTGTTTAAGATAAAAGTTTAGTAGTCACAATTGTTGGTTACATTTTGTAGTGCAGAAGTATTGATAGCTAAATATTAAATTTTCGCACTGACATTTATTTCATATAATCCTAATATGCTGAATTAACCCCTAAATAAATTATTTTTAACTTAAGAAATCACAAAAATTTCCCAAGTAGGAGAATACTTGAGAAAAAATAATGATAACCTATTCTCTTTCTTGTGTTTATTAGGTTTCCTTCTATGTACACAGGGAAAAAAAAAAAAAAAAAATGCTACGCATGAAACAGATGTGTACTTGTGATACAAATTTATACTATTATAGTTTACCCGATTCGGTAAGCTTAATATTTATTCTTATATGTTCGTAAATTGTGCATTCTTTGCTTTAAAAGTGATTGAATTACGTAGTTTTTATGTTTTTAGTCAATCTGCACGCAATAGATGAAAAATTATGAACAATTTAAAAGTTGTTTAAGTGTTGTTTGTCTAAAGAGCCCGTCATTTGTTTACATTCGAAACTATTGGTAGAATAGATACTGTCTGTCTATCATAAAAAAAGCTCTCGCCAGTTAGTCTGCAGCTGTCTGTTGTCGTCCCCCCGGGGATTGACTCAGGGTGAATGCCTGGGAAGTACTGGTTAGGATCTGTACCTAGGCAGTCTCAAACACAGGGGTATATAATTTGACTTCACAGGACTAGAGCCCGAGTATTGTACTTAGGTTGGTTCAGGCTTGGCAGGGACCGTACTGGTACTTTCGTGTCTGTTCCTTCGGCTATGGTGGAGCTATATGGAAGATTTGTCGACTGAGTTCCCGGGGGTTTGACTCCATCCAGTTCTCGTGGCGGGGACTGACAAAGCAGCCAGAACACCTTTTTACAATGTGGTTTTGCCGATGGAATGGTGCCCGTAGGCAAGGTGACAGAATTTTAAAATAGCAACGTTTTCGTTCTGCCCAATGTTTCGTGAAAGCGGGGCGGGGATTGCGGGGGTTGCGCCCGCGAGAACGAGGTCTCACGGACGTTGGGTATACCAAACTTTGAATGGGTCCCGTATAAGGAGGACCTGGGACGGAGGTCCTTCGTCTAGTTTGTCTGTCTGTTGCCGTAGAAAAGAGTGTTGACCCATTTTCCGTAGGGGTGTCTTGAAGGTAAACGATAAACTTTCCCCTCAGCAAACAGTCGCCGAAAACAAAATAACAATAAAGCAACTATTGATTCGCCTCTATTTGAAATATACTAGCTCTGTTGCTATAGCGACCGCCACCCGCCAGACACTGTGGCGGGAACTCTTCTTCTCGTACACAGACAGTAATTAAGTCAGTTTCTCCATCAACTTTAGTGTCTTTTTGCAGAGTAGGACCAAAAGTAAACTTTCAGTTTGGTGCTACGAAAAGTCTGTCTTCTTGCATGCGGGTCGAATTGCTTACTTTCCCCTAGAAACTTATTTTAATTGTAAAATTTCTTTTTTTAAACTGTTTTTAACTGTATTTGGAGTTTTATGCTTTTCTGTATTTAACAATTTTTAATGAAGATGTTTTGAGTTTTTGTATTTTTTGTCTTGCCGCGAAGTGAGAACTGAATTGATTGAATGAGAAATATATCTCTAATGAAATTCGTGAAAATAAGTTTAAATGAAATGCAGCAAAACGTGTGCATAATTTAATAGACGATGCTAGGTATCCATGTGGTGTCCACATCAAATATTTTATTTCTTATTGCAACGTTCAGCTACAATAGCTGATGATATTTTGATTTTAACAAAGTTTGTTGTAACCTTGAAGAAAAATTACTGGAAGTTATCTTCATCACGAATTATAGATGCTCACTGGTCAGTTCGGTTCTTTTTCTTTTATCTGATCTTGTTAATTGTCAACTCCTAAAAAAACAATTCATATATAAATGTATTTCCAAACAAAGCGATTGCTATTTTTTCAAAAAGATCGCACGTTGTGTCAATTATGCGTTATTTAACTTTAAAAAAGTACAAATAAAGGTTAATAAAATCTGCATTTTCAAATCTTCAAGCAATTTCAGGTGGCTAGAGGATGGCACTTTATATTTGCTGAGGAATCAGATTTATATCATAGTGTAAATTAACTAGTTTGTAAAAATTGTAGGTTTTTTTTGGGGGGGAAGCAGGAGAGGTGAAACATGTGCAGTGCTCATTTCGGGACCCGAACCTTGGCCCTTTCGAATGCGCGTCGAGTATGCTTCAAATTCACCACGAAAGCATGCGAAAAAGAGGAAGAAAATATTTTATACGCTGTTTTGCAGATTTTGTGGTGTTACTCATGTTCATTTTTGATAATAATGAAAATAAAATTCTATTCCAATTTATTAAATCTTGAACTGTTTTTTCAAATTCTTGTCTAATAATTAATATTATAATAATGCTGCTTAATTCACGCGAAATGTAATCGCTGGTTCACGGCCCGCGAGCTGCCAGTTTGAGACCATTGCCTTAGATCATGTCTACAGAACATCTTGTTTTGTACTGCTCAAGACCTGGGGATCTGTCAAACTCATCCAAATGAGAAATAACTTTAATCCGTAATAATTCATTTACAGTGCAAGATTTGCAGCACAATTCATTTAAAGTGCATTGGCATTATGTTATATATATGCGGCTTAAATGTTTGTTGCCGATAGTTATTTGGTTGCTTGAATAACTGTACTAGCCAATGGTTTCCCATACATTTGCTTTTCAAATCGAAGTTCAGAATTTTCTTTTATTGTTGCCAAAACTAGATATGAAATACAATGTTACCAATAAATGCATTTTCCTTTAAAATTATTAAATCTGTTTTTGTATTTTAAACTGAATTTTCAGCTGAACGCAAATTGAGCGTATCATGGGGAACGTGAACATTTGTTTGCATTGGCAATCATCTGTTTTTGAAATGGTTTGCAACTGTAATTATATCTTTATTCTATGGAATCTGTTCACGAGGATATTTGTTATTTAGTATTCTTGCCAGAGTGGGATAAAGTATTTACAATTTGCATTTTAAACAAAAATTCATTTTGTGCAGTAAATAAACTAATTCAGATTAATTCAGTTTGAATTAGCAGATATCTTTGCTCAAATCATTTTAATTACAATTTATAGTATCTAGAACAGCGGTCATTTCGTATGACCGCCGGGCTTTCTAGTCTTGCATAAAAAAGGTAGTTAGAACCAATGGCGCAATGAGAAAACACCTATGGAGAAGGATCTTGGTTTGTGTTCACTGAACTATGGCTCTGTGATAGAAAATATGAAAGTAAATACTATTTAGCAATGAATCACACAAGCACGTAACTGTATTCTGATCTCTTTTCGGAGCAGGTGAAGTCTAAAATCGCTGTCAGGTATGCAGTATCTATTATCAGTAAAGATTATGATACGTCAAAGGTGCATTGTTCGGTCTTGATGACCGTTTTAATATTGTAAACAGTGTCTCCTGTTATCATGCGTTAAATTGCTTTCCATTATTGACAGTAATCAGAAATCGATTTCTAGTAGCTGTCTATTCATTACTGTTGGTGATTATTTCCATAGACAATAAGCCATGGATGATCGATCTAATAATAATCAATTCCAATTTTTTTAGGATATTTTACGCATGCGAAACAATACTATGAGCAATACGAAATTCTTCGGTCATGCTGCTGACTTGTAGCGTGAAACTTCCTCCAGCTTGCTAATGCTCCAGCACGTGAATATTTATCCAGATATGTGCTCCTAAACTTTGGATCATCTCTAACACTGTTCACTTGAACTTAAAATATCACGCGCGCGTGTTTTTTGTAACTGTCTTCGTCTGGAAAATATGCATTTATCACACTTTATTTTATCGCCTAACTTACCACATCATTTGTTGAAAATCTACATAGCGCCATAAAGTTACGTAATAATAATGAAAGAGAATTTAAGGTGCATGAAAGCGAAATAGTGAACTTCGAAATTATTTTTAAGCATATCAACAAAGAAATTATTTAGTAAAATTGAGCAATCAAAATATAAAGTAAAAAATAAATAGAACTATTAATAAACTCACATTTTGTATATAAATATATTTACTTAACAGGCATATGCGATTCCGGTTCCCAGAGTACTTGTAAATTACGCTCAATATCTCGGAGTCACGCTCAACCAGAATTTTAACCTGGACAGATCACATGACCAAGGTGTGCGGAAAAGCGCTTGGGGTAACTATCAAACTTTTTCCTCTTTAAAAAAATGAACAACTTGCGCTGAACTTCAAGAGGAGACTTTATGCATTTGTCATCCGACCGATTATGCTGTACGGCTCATCTGCTTGGGCTAATGCCACTAATAAATATCTTTAAAAACTCAAGGTTTTGCAGATTATAACGCGAGCCCCTTGGTTTATACATAATAGAAGCCTCTATGCGGACCTCAGCCAGCTTCGATCAGAGTCGATTAAAGCTGGCTGGAGTCGATTTATTACCTGCCTCAACGAAACCTCCTTAACAGAGCACCTTCAGTGCAACCCAGCCAACCTTGCGAACATTCTAAGATAAAAAATACTGGAGGAAGATAAGAGTTTGCATCCATTTGCTGCCCAATTCCTGTACTATCTGTCTACGAGAAGAACACAGTGTGAACTCAGTGAAGAACACTGAGACCCGACGCAGTGTCTGGCGGTGGTGGTCGCTATAGCAACAAAGCTAGTATATTTCAACTAGGGGTGAACCAAGAGTCGCTAATTCATTTTTAAATACGCCAAGATGGTAAGTAAATCTTCAAGACCCCCTACGGAAAATGGGTCAAGGCTCGTTTTATGGCAACAGAGAGCTGCAGACTTACTGGCAAGAGTTTTTCTTAAGATAGACAGTTAATCTACCGATATAGCTTAGTTAGCCAAGCCAATCAGTGCGCTGGACACTAAATGCGAAAGCTCAATTTGGAGGAAAAACTTCATCACCGTTTCATTCATTCGGAGTGTTTCCTTCTAAACTCCTACACGTTGACCTTAATTTTTTGAACATATTTAAGGGGTCATAGTGCATATTCAGCGCAGACCCACGTGTTCCATCCAGATGCAAAGCGCATCTGTACTTTTTTCCCCTGATATTTGTCTTATCTAGAGAATTCTATTTGCAGATTTCAACACGAGTCAGGCCCAGTTCGGGACTCAGTCATGAACTGGCAAGAGCAGGACCTTTCTCCCCGCTGAATGCCACTATACTCATTGAAGTATCAAAGTTTCAAGGCATATGTGATGAATGTAAAACTGATTTTCTTGAAACAATATCTGAATATATCAAATGTAATTTAGACCATGTTATTTCCTAAAATTCTCATTTGTATGCATTTTGGATTACCACATTATTTGAATATCTCTACAAACAAAGTTCACGTAATATCCGTGATTACAACATATTGAGTGGCCTTACACAGGGATGACTGCCTTTTTCTGTTCTAGAGCTAATAAATGAGGATGTTTATGTGATTTTCACAGATTATGCCTTGTGATGCTCTGTTAGTAGCACCCTGGAAAAATCAACCACATTTATACTTTAAAATCTGAACTTTTAAGTTGAAGAAGATTATACTAATGTATTTTATTAAACTGTTTAAATGTGTAAAATATTAGCTAAAAATTATTGCTTGCATAAAAAATTTTGAAATAAAGAAACATAGTTCGTTTTACCTCTAAGAACATCTCCTATTCAGAACATTCCAATTAGAACAGCCCTCCGTTTCAAAGCATTTATAAAATAAGCAATTTCAGCAATAGAGCTTCCAGAAATTCTGAATTTTTAAACAATTTCTCATACAGATGTATTTCAACATTCCTCTTACAACATTTCGAGTATTGATAATATTTGAATAATGCATTGCAAGTCATTTTAATAGCTAATATGCTACTTGTTAGAACTTCTCTAATGTTATGAGGTATCTGCAAAGGAAATGAATGTATGTCATTGCACAATACTGATATTTAATACTGTTACGAACATACATACTGTTACGTAGGTTCATACTAGACTGAATGCAGGTAGAACCGATGACAACTTAATGAAACTTATTATTTCTAAAATACTTTACAGTTCTGGAGCTTTTCGCACGAAAGTATTCGTACAGGTAGAGTATACCTCAGTACAGCCTCAGTATGCCAGAGCACAATCAGTACATGAGACTACTAAGGACGTTGAAAGCAGCAAATTCAAAAAGCAACATATGCATAAGCTCGCACCGTGATGCCTCAGTACTCTGAGTTAAACTCTCAACTAAACAGAAAACTAATGCTCTTTCGGGTCATATATAACTTTGCCCCGTCCTTCGAGAAATTTCCAGTATCTTCGATTTTTTGAAACTGCTGGAAGGCATGTATAAATACAGCTAAATAGGGTCGGATACAGAAACAATACGTAACAATATATATATTCAATATGTTGGCAACGACATACAGTTGCATAGGGATTGCACTAAAAGGCCCCCAAATGGTCGGCTAGCCTGGCGACAAAAATTAATCACCAAAATCCTCGCCAGATTGGCCCCATTTCGCCAATGTGGCGAGATAGCCATGCGTGCAAAGTTTCATGGGCTTACCCCTGCAAACGCATTTTTCCGGCGTTGCTTTACATGTTGAAGCGCTTCGTGTTACATTATACAAGTGGTACTACAATTTACATATACAATGTCACTAAAAGTTTTTACATAGATGCAGTAATAAATTATCCTCAGGTATATAAGTGACTCGACTACTGTTATATAACGCCCAAAAAGAAATCAAAAATAACAATATAATCTGAAAAGACCTATCTTCATTTTTTTTAACGTTTATTCCAAAGAACGAGAGAGCGTAAAACCACTAATAGTCACTCCAATTTGAATTAAACAATACAAAAGTATCCGTCTTGAGATCCAGGAATCGAAATTAACTCTTTACAGATGTTTTAGCCTTTAAATTTCTATTTTCAACGGCAGTGTTATAATTAATTAGAGGACAATATATATATTTTTGCTTTCAAAGCTTCATTTTATAGAAATTTAGGCACGTTGCAAATCATTTTCAGCGAAGGTTTTGTTCAAATTATTTCTCAAATTTTGATTCACTTAACTTACGTTAGCTAGACTTATCCAGAACAATTGATTCGGCGTATAGTTCAGTCCTGGGAGCCTTGGCTCGCTTCCGTGATCTTTTGCCCATAATTTGTAGGCCTGTAAGAAAATAACCAAACACTGCAGACCAAAGAAATGCTAATTTTAATCAAAACTGGAAAACATATTACATGTAGAGTGCAAACAAATTTATCCCCGTTACAATCGCGAAAAACTTAAATCTCCGATAAAATTGTTCTTTTTTGACGCCATTTAAGTACTTTCTCTTAATTTATTTGCTTTTTAAAATTTTTTATTTGATTTAAATGAAATAAAACATTCAAATGTTATTCAGAGCAGTTGAAAGAAAAATAAAATAGGTCAATATCGTACTTAAAAAAGAAAAATATTTGACCTCGGAAACTATCGGATTGAAATATTTTCCCTGCTACATGAACTCTTGTTGCTTATTGCTGGCTTCTTTTACACTCATGTCCATAAATTAAGGATAATCCGGAGTCACGCGGAAATCGAACCCTAAAATAAATATATCACCTGCAAAATCACTACACACATCTTCAAGAATCATATGCAAATTTCAGGAAGTAACCAGATGACACCGATGGTACGTCACAATGACGAGAGTGTAAGAAAGTGATGTATAAGGAATACAGGCAAAGAAGTAAAATTGTTCACAGGCGCTTTATAAGCATTTCAGTGCAATAACCGAATAGTTATGACACAAAGGACGCATTTGGATGATTTTTTACGTGGTAGATTTATCGGCCGTCTGGAATGTGGGCGTACCCAACTGGAAGTATCAGACGAACTTGGAATTGCCCAGAGTGTCATCTCCAGGCTTTGGCAACGATTCCAAGAATGATGGTAATGTGAGTAGACGTTACAGCACAGGTCGCCTCAGAGTTACAACGCCGAATGAGGACCGGTATTTGGCAGTTACTGCCACAAGAAACAGGAAACAGGCGGAGCACAGCTTCAGACCTGTCTCGTCAGCTCTCTTCAGCCACTGGTACGACAATTTCAAGGCAGACCGTGTACAGACGCTTAGGGCAGATTGGTCTATATGCTCGTAGACCTGTCAGAGTTCACTTACTGCAACTCACTGTCGCCTGCGGTTAGCCTGTAGTAGAGAGCATGCATTGTGAACACCACAACAGTGGGCTCGTGTGATGTTTTTCGACGAGTCCAGGTTTAGCTTGCAGTCTGATTCTTGCCGGACTTTCATGTAGAGAGCTCCAGGTACCCGTTAACACCAAGAAAACATCATTGAACGACACCGTTACGGTGGTGCAGGAGTGCTCGTTTGGAGTGGAAATATTCTGGGTTCCAGAACTGACCTGCATATTCAAATTGGAACCATGACAAGCAGAATCTATCGGGACGTCATTCTGGAACAACATGTACGTTTGTTTCGGGGCGTCATGGGCGCGCAATTTGTGTTTATAGATGACAACGCCCGTCCTCACCGTGCAAACATCGTAAGCGAATGCCTTCAATCGACCTTCAGTCGGAGGATATCACCCGTATGGACTGGCCAGCATTCTCACCGGACTTGGATCCAGTAGAGTACGTGTGGGCATGCTTGGCCGACGAGTTGCAGCACGTCAACCTCCTCCTACATGTCTACCGGAACTTCGGAGAGCATTGCTTTTTGAGTTGTGTAATATCCCCCAAGATCAGATCGATAATTTGATATTCAGCATGCCTAGGCGTTGTACGGACTGTATTGCATCGTCTGGGAGACATACAATGTATTAACAATCATACCAACCATGTAATATTGGTTTTTTGTAAATAGGTTTTTTTTTTGTAATTTGCTCCAGGGAGAAAAAATCGCTAATTTTTTTAATAATACCAAACATATAGCACCTGTTTTTGCTCTTTCCCTTTTGTTTATTAAATAAGCTTTACAAATAAGTCAAATTTGTTTTGCTTCTAAACCTTCCTTTGCCTGATTTTGCATTATCCTTAATTTATGGACATGAGTGTAGTTCATGAAAGGTGTTTTTCGCAGCGCCAGTGTATGTATAATATATTCACTCTAAAAAATGATAGGTTTTACGTTGCTCGTTTAACTGTTTAAAAAATGAAATTAGGCTAAATTATTACGACGAAGCGAAGGTTTGTTATCTGCCTATGAAAGTGATAACTTCGTGAAAATTTTCTAAGAGACATTGCCTCGTATTAACGTTACACATAGGTTATTGCATGCATTGCAGTATTCCAATAACCATAACCATTAGTCTGGTTCGAATTGCAGCTATTCAGCCACTTCAACTACTCGGCCGCTGGCATTACCTTGAAAATGATAGAAATTTACTTTCATTTACGTCCACTCTATAAAGTATTTCTCCCGTTTTCCTAGCGTACATTCGTGGTGTAGTGGTCAGCACACTAAGCCGGTATTTCAAAGGTCCATGGTTCGATTCCCGGCGAAGGCGGTTGTTCATTTTTCATCTTTCCTGCTTCCCAAAATCCTAATGTTTCTACAGTAGCGCCCGAACTAAAAGAGTGATGGATTATGACTCTCCACACTCAAGCTTTGTCGATTGGGTCCCTAGAAACCCCAGTCGTCTTTTAAAAGGGTGGAGTATATAAGGTATTTCTCCCGCCTTCCTAGCGTGCCTTCGTAATGTATTGGTTAGCGCACAGAGCTGGTATTTCAGAGGTCCGTGGTTCGAATCCCGGCGAAGGACTTCTCTTCGGCCTCGAAAAAACTCGTAATGTCTCTACAACTTGATTCCTATAAAAAATTCTGTTGATTCAAATTCTTAAAAAAAAAAAAAAAAAAAAAAGCAAAATATAATTTGTAATTTATTTTGTTCTATGTAGCTGAAGTTTTTACCATCATTTATGAATAAATGCTACTACCGTAATCAAAGTTATAAGATGATGATGATGACCCTTACCGGTAAGACGAACTCAAACATGATGAGTTTATAAGGTATTTCTCCCTCCTTCTTAGCATGCCTTCGTGGTGTAATGGTCATCACGCTCGGCGCATATTCGAGAGGTCCGTGTTTCGAGTCCTAGGGAGGGCATTGCTCGTTTTTTCAACTTCCTGACATGAAAAAATAACCTAATCTCTCTACAATTGCGCTCAAACTAAAAAAGGTGATGGATGGTGATTCTCCACCACCAGTGACCTCTAATTCCCATTGATTGTGACCCCTAATTCCCAGCTACCCTTTAAAAAGGGGAGTATATGAGGTATTTCTCTCGCCTTTTTAACATGTCTTCGTGGTGTAATGGTCAGCACGTTCGGCGCGTATTCGAGAAGTCCGAGGTTCAAGTCTCGGCGAGAGCATTGCACAATTTCTTTAAATTCCTGACGTAAAAAAATAACATAATGTCCCTGCAAGTTGACAAATGACAGTTTTATTTTGATTTGAGTATCTTACTCTTCTATATTAACTGATCTAGGTATCTTACTCTTCTATATTAACTGAGTGCACTATATAGACAGTTCGTAAATATTTTGTAAAATGTTTTCGTAAATTCCTTGCAGCTCTACTTTTAACTTAATTTACTGTTATTCCTCTCCTTGGTCTCTAAAACGGTCGTAAAAGAACAATCCCAGTACTTTGATCTTACTGGCTGAAAGTGAATTGACTGAGAAATATTAAAACTCGTTGTAGAGCACGTCTAAACTTCATTTTTATTTAAACAATATAAAATACTATATTTAAGAAGACATTTTCCAAACTACAAAAACTGCAGACATTTATTTCAGTCAGATACCAATTTATTTTCCTACTGATACGTCATTTTCAATTAATTATGTTTTCAAATTTTACTGACTACCGTACCGATGATACAATTCAAAAGTGCTTATCAGTTTCGCCACTGAGAGAGGGATCACAAAATGTACCAATGAGTTTCTATTGCTGCTGTGATGCTGAATCTTTGACACTCTGTGTATGAACGTACGTTGGCGTTTACTTTTATTTTGCACTTGTTTCGCAGTTATCAACGTATGGCGTATAAATGTTGCTAAAATTTCTGAAAATGACAGATCTTGCAGTTATATTTTATAGCATTATTTAATCGTCAGCATTTCATTTACACGAAACTTACCACGCACTGATAATGTTCGTGGCATATTTTTACTCTGTATATCGAGAAAATCAAGCTACAATTAGCCTTAAATATTATGCCCTTACTAACACCTGCGGATTAAGCGAATTCGAGAGCATAATGTTTTTACTGAACTGAGAATACAATGAATCTAGCATTTGCTTATCTCAATGCTTGAATTCCTTTGATTTTGAAAACGTAAGTTTCAATAAAATGTGTAATTCACAACATATATCATATTGTGAATGATCTGATTACACCTATTGTTAACATTAAAAGTTATATATGAATAAATTAAGTATATTCTTTGTGGAAGAAGAGGAATTTATTCTGTTTCAAGAGTATTTCTTGTGCAGGCAATGCATTTAAAAGTGAAGGGTTATTAATGTGAAATTTAGCATAATAAATGTGTAGTAATGCAAATTTGGAAAATTAACTTGAAGGTGCTACTTTGGTAGACTGTTGCACGGATTTTGTCGATTTTTGTTTTGGTGAGCAATACGACTTATGGTAAACCCATTGTTAGAAAGTTATTTATGGTAACCGATACATTGTTGTCATTTTATTTTAAAAAATAATGCGTTTTATTATGCATAAATTCCGTGCTTTTAATATTATTTATGGCTTTTAAATACTAAAAATCAATTTAATTGTGAATTTTTATTTGAAATAAAAATTTTATTCTTTATGACATTTTAGGGAATTTTATGTTGTGGATGATGTAATGAATGACGTCACATTACTTTAAAAGTAATTGGTTTTAATATCTATAAATTTAATCTAATATTTTAAACATTATTTATGGCTGTTAACTATTAAAATACAATTTAATTTTGCATTTTTTTAAAAAGGATTTTATTATGCATGATTATTTAAATAATTTTAATTCTATTCGTCATGTAATTAGCTCCCTGATTGGTTACAGAATATTTGTGCTGTAATCAGCTCCCTTATTGGTTACTGAATATTTGTGCATTACCGAGCCATTTTAAAATTTTATTATTCATCTCTTCGAATTCCTTAGATTACATTTTTCAAATTCTTTTACAAATGTTTTCAAATTTTTTGCTTTATTATGTTTTTTAAATTATATCACATTTTTCAAATTGTTTTCATTGATGTTTAAATTATGATTCCGATTTTTTGTGGTACGTATCATTATACGACAATTAAATACTCAAAAAATACATATTTTTCTTTTATTTTATAATTGTATACTTCAATTTTTATTAAAAAAATGAATACACTATTTCAAAAATTTCGAGATATTTATTGCCACATATATTTTAATGTTAAATAATTATATCCTATAAAATTTATTTTGAAGGATTTGAATTTAAGTAATATTTTAATTCTTTTAAATGTTGGTATGATGTTTTTAATTTGATATTCAATTTAAGTACTATTTTAATCCAATTAAACTTTGGCGCAATGTTTTTATAGCGGTGTTTTTATTCTATTTCTTTGCTATATGAAAGTAATAATTTAACCTTACTTTAGTATTTTATACTCATAGTAAATTTATTTATTTACATTTGCCTGCCATCTTAAAAATAGACATTTTCAACAGAAAAATTAATCCATTATTTTTAACAATATTTATTTTTTTAAAGTTTCGAATACTTTACTATGCATAAAATACGTAAAAACATGCGTTTTTGAAGATGGCTGACGATTGTAAAAACCGCGCCAAGAATTGCGCCAACGTAAATCGCCAAAAATCCGTGCAACCGCCTACCAAAGTAGCATCCTTCTTCATTTTGCTATAAAATAATTTTCTTTTGCTTCTGTTGTTTTTACGTTATGCACATTATTTACAAAAATATATATCATAGCTTGTTGTAAGAATGTTTGAATTACTTTCATTTGTAATTAAAGCAACTGCTAAATAAGTTTGAATCCATTGTAAGACGTAACCGTTCACATAAAAATTTAATCAACAATAAAATAACATGAAAAACCATTTTTCGCATATCATGCTGTAATGTCGGTACCTGAAAACACAAGTAAGGAAAATATAAAATACCTTAAAATATGTAATGACAAACCTAAATGCAAACTTTAATTTTTAATTATTAAAATATTTTGTTGCAATTCGAAACCTGAAATGATTAAATCTTTTAAAATGTGTTGATGATTTTCTTCAATCAAAACAATTAATGAATGTGAGAAGGAGATTATATTGATTAATGAACAATGAATAATGATCGCAAATCAATTATGTGACAGACGATGTTAAACATGATTACAAGCAGACATGATGAAACCTGTACTAAATAGATTTTCTGTAATAATTCATTAAAAAGGTAGATTCTTCTACCACCTCACTTTGTAAAACATCATTTAATAGCCCATTCCGTATCTGCAAAATTTCTCAGTTACACGTAAACTTACAGCACTTTGTAATTGCATTGAAATATTTTGTAACAGTATTTAATAACAACATTGAATATTATATCACATATGTAAGCACAATATTAACTTAATATTTTGCTTACAACAGAAACTGGAATTGTAGAATTGTAGTTTTAAGATTTTTTAATATCTGTGCTTACCAAAAATGCTGCTTTCATGCCTCCATTGTCAGCCAAATTTTCTCCTTGAGTGTTAATTCCATTTAACTGTAAAAATAAGATAAAATAGCTTTATGTTTTATATATATATATATATATATATATATATATATATATATATATAGCTGTGGCAATATCTTCTACAAAAGACATATAAGAAACTACTTGAAAGGACAGCACTTTTAATTACATTTAAATTATTTACATTTTTAACGAGCATGTTAGTATAAACTGAATTAACTTCTTCATTTTTATTTACGTCTTTATCTTCGTCGTTCTTTTAATTTGAATGAGTTTTTACTCATCTAGTTGCCAGTTGACAAAACGAAAAATAAAACATTAAAAGAATTATACGATGAGCAGTCTGTGCGCCATCTGGTATTCAACACTGGCACTACATATATATATATATGTGTGTGTGTGAAAGCAAATAATTAAGAGATAAAAATTAAATAAAAATATATAATATAATATATATATAATATGTAAAATATATCTCATAAATATATGATAAATTTTACATAAATAAAAGCTTAGAAGTACCAAAATTAACATTAATAATTATTTAAGTCGTACATCATTCTGAGAAATTAACTAAATTAAAAAGTGGTGGTTAGCAAGCTGACAGAAGGAACACAAAATAAAAACTGAAACAAAAACAAAAATAAATAAATAAATAAAGGTATTTCTCCCGCCTTTTTGACATGCCTTCGTGGTGTGGTGGTCTGTTGCGCCCAAACTAAAAGGGTGTTGGATGATGATTCTCCTCACCCAGGATTTGGCGATTAGGTCTCCTAAAAACCCCATTCGCCCTTTAAAAGGGGGAGTATATAAGGTATTTCTCCGCCTTCTTGGCAGGCCTTCGTGGTACTGTTGTCTGCACGCTCAGCGAGTAATTGAAAGAGATCCGTGGTTCGATTCCTGGAGAAGGCGGTTGCTCATTTTTCATCTTTCCTGCTTCCAAACAAGCTAATGTCTCTACAAAGTAACGATATAACATAACAAATTGTTCAAAAGTCTTTGGAAGAAGACCACTTCTTCAACAAACAACCAGAACATCTCATGAAATATTTCAAAAGCAAAGACAGACAAGAAAAAAATGAAAACAAATCTACATTCAAATCCTTGTTCAGGAGTCACTTTCCTTGTTCAGGAGCCAAAATACATGTAATGAGAGAAACAACGACAATATAAATATTGTCGTTCTTTGCGGGAGCAAAGCAAACATAAATACAGAGCCATTTCCCAAAGAAAATAATAATGAAACGAAGCAAATTATGATATTTGAATTCTAACATCGTTAAGATAGAACTGGATTGGAATTAAAGTTAGCTGTAGGAAATAAAGTTTTATGAATGGGAAAAGCTTCAAGTGAATACAATTCAACAAACTAAGAAACTTTATGAATAAATTTCACAAATTTAAAGGCAAGATTTATAAGGTACTTTCTCCCTTCTTTCCGCAACCTTCGTGATGTAACGGTAACTCACTCGGAGCGTTAACCTAATGACTCCACAGTGGAGCCAGAACTAAAATGGTGGTGGATGATGATTCTTCACCAGCAGGATTTGGCGACTGGGTCCCCTAATCGCCAGTCGCCCTTTAAAAGGGGGAGTATATAAGGTATTTTCTCCTTCCTTTCTGCATGCCTTAGTGAGGTAACGCTAGCAAACTCCGCGAGTATTCGAGAGGTCCATGTTCGAGACCCTGCAAGAGCATTGCTCTTTTTTCACATCTCTTGTTTCTAAAAAAATCCTAACAACTTTATAGATTGTGATTAAATTTCCAACTATTATTAACTTTTAACATGTTTTTATTTCTTCGCTTTGGGCATAATTTCGTGTTTCTTGATGGAAAATTATAACATTTTCTTAATTTCCATGATATGTTTCAATCAAACTCACAAGATATGCTGTAAATTCTCCAAACGTAAAGGGAAAGATTCAACCAACCGGTTAATCTGGGTTATAAAGTATTTAATAAAAATTAAATCTGCATATTTATGTTAAAAAGAAGTGCTTGGTATCAAGAGCCTCTCTCACACAGAGTCGGCCTGAGAACAGAAAAACATCTAAAGACTCAAAAATTTATATAATGGACGTTATATGACATGAAAAATGTTATATGACAAAAATAATATTGAAAGTGGTTAAAATGTACAGAATATGTAAAGAAAACGTTAATTGAATAAATTTAAAACAAAGTACGGAAAAAATATTATTTCAATTTACTTCTATAGAAATTAATAATTTTCAGTTATATTTGCATATTGCTTCTGTTTTCCAGTTTTTCAATTTGATAAATTTACTTTTTGACTTTTGATTTATTGCGAATGTTTGCGTGATATTTATATTTACTTCAACATTAACACACTTGCAATGCCAATGTTATTATTTCGTTTACTTTTATATTTTACATTTATGAGTTTTGCGTTCGGTTGTATTATTTTACATTTTAATCACATGTTTACATGTTTTGTTATCTTTATTTTTATTTTGCACTTGCACAATTTTTTTAGTTGCGAAACTTGTTCTAAGACCACCTTATTACAGAGGTATTAAAAGGTATTTTCTTCCACCTCTCAGACCCTCCAGCGGCCGAGCGGTAAAGTAGCTGAACACTGGTAGTTCGATCCGAGGTTCGAATTCCGCGAACGGACTGGCTGCATGAGCGTATTTCGTGGTTTTCCTCATGTGTAATGGGTGTATACGGAGCCAGGTTTCCCTTTAGAAAGTCCTCCACGAAGGCATCCCTCCCCTTAGGCAGATAGCCCTAGTGTGCTTTGCCATAATTAAATACACCACCACACCACACCACTTCCTCCTCCCAGTATGCCAGTGGTTTAACGTAGCATACTCGGCGCGTATTCGAGAGGTCCATGTTCGATTCCCGGTGAGGCATAACTAAGTTTTCATGCACTCTTGCTTCAAATCACTTCATGACTCTGCAGTACATGCATAATTATGTGTGCATATATACATACACATATAAAATGAACAAATGCAAAGGCAGTTCAAGATCTAATCCAAAAGTGCGATGAAAGCAGTAACAACTGATGGTAATAATGCATATTAAATTAAATAATAATACTCTTAAAATTGATCCCATATTCATTTCAGAATAAACCACAAGTAAAAATCAAATACCAGAAGCAGAGTGGGAAAATGCAAGAGAATGAGAAAAATTAAATTCGAAATTTACATTCGCTGCATCGTCGTCAGGGAGTGAAACGAACAAAGTTAAATAAACCAGTCTGTTTCTGAAGCAATAAAGACACAAATAAGGGTTTGAAACTTAAAATAATCTCGGAAAAGCAATCTGCATAATATTGATGAGTGCCTAAGTAATCTGTGTTTTTATCAGACCAACCAATACAGGGGAAAATAAGCAGTGCAAACAATCACAAAAATATAACATCGAAAAACATAAACAAATTAAAACACATAAAAATATTTTATTGAGCAAACCTAGTCCAAAAAACAAAACCTGCAAATTTAAACAATCGGACATGTGCAAAAGCATAAGTGAATTTTGAAGCTCCATAGGCCGGGATAAGCGTTTTTGTTAAATAAATTATAGCATCAAAATAAACTAATAATAATAATTTTCAGTTTCAACGGACCGAGTTAAAAAAAATTTCTAAACTAGATGCAATCCATCATACGAAAAAATAAATAAAGGTTTGATTCCAAAACAAAAAATATAAATGAAAAATAATAAAAAGGGGAGTTAGTTCTTAAAATGTGTAACATTAGAGGAACAAAAGTTTTAAAATGAAAAAATAACATACCAAACAAAATGTAGAAGGGAAAAAAATCTAATTACTTTGGTTATAAACCTCAAAAGAAATCCATATATATATATACACATCATGCCCAGGAATGTCCCCATGCGGTCCTTGCTCCGTACGCTGCGGCAAATGGAGATATCTTTTTATTTTGCTAGCAAATAATGCCCATGCTCACTCTGCTTATCTCGTGCACTGATTTCTTGAAGAAGAAACTATAGTCCAAATAGAATGGGCAGCACGCTTTCCCGATCTTAATCCATTCAGCATGTGTGGAACGTTCTTGAAAGGTACATTGCTGGCCCCCAGTCCCCTTCCTAAATTCTAGATGGGCGTAGTTAGAACTGATTTAAGCGATCAATTAGCATTGAATCCTATGCAGCTTACTGACAACATCATACGGAGCATTTGAAATCGCTATTAGGCCTGTATTGCTGTTCAGGGTGATCATACTCTCAACTGAGAATTTGTACATTCGAATTTAGGAGATTTAAATTTCTGGTGACATCGCAAAATGAAATATTCTGTATAATATTTCTCCATGCTTTTGAATTCCCAGCGCTATAATAAATATCGTCGCCGAGTTTCGTCCAACTTGCTTGCATGTTTTTCGAGGTATCATCAATTTTCCGTTTGTTGCTTCATTTTTGGAAACCAGTCTATAATATTTACACAGCGTCACTTCACAGTAAGAATTATTAGGCTTATGTCTTCAGAGTTATTAAGCTCGATACCTCACTTCACAGTTAATACACAAAATTAAAAATTTATTTCAAAGAGTTAAATGCTGTAGACGCCACTTAAAGGATCGCTGGAAGAATTAGTTCATAATAAGACTTTCAATTCACCACATTTACTAATAACGCATGCATTTATTTTAATAAACTATTTTGTTAAATTACATACTCGATCATTAACAAGAACGAAGACATTCTGCATATTTTTTCCTTAAATTACATATTTCAGCTACCTTTACAAAAAATCAGAAATGTTGACTACCAAAGAACAAGGAGGACAGATAATCTGGTTTCGTTTCGATACAGCAGTAACAGACTAGTTTTAATGCATCGACCATTGATAATTTTCAACAGGATTAGCTTTATATATGGAGTCCGCTTCCTCTGAAACGCAGTTCGCAAAGATTTAATTCGTCTTATACATGTCTTTCACAATCTGTGAAGAAATAAATATGTTCAGTTATTATACTAAATATGAAAAACTCTTTTGTCCAATTCTTTTTAAGTCTTGTGATAGCATTTTATTTAAAAATTTTTAGTTGATGTTTGCCGTACGATGAAAGACCTATTTTAGAGTACACCTTTTGTCCAATTGTTCCTTAATATAAATATATACAACCACAATACAATGACGCAACATTATTTTACAGGATGTAATTAAGTGTATGGAACATTAGTCTGTTTTGGGCGTTATCGTAAAATTTCTTATTTTAAAGAAATCAATGACGACATACATCGAAAGACAAAGAAAAAGAACTTTAAATGTACCGTACCTGCAATCCATTTTCAGTAGTGTAATTTCCATATTGTTCTATAATACACTGGACTTTTGTTTTGAAATGCTGGTCTGTTACGTCGTCTCCCCATCTCACATTATTACCGTTCTCATCGAATTGGCGACCTAAAAATTTATCGTTACTATTAAATTGTGAACAAAATGGCATACACGAATTTTATAATTTGCTTGATAATCGCCTTTAAGCTTGAAATTTCTAAACTAAATCTAATTATAACTATGAAATGCAAATACATGATTTGCAGAAACACTTAAAAGGTATTTTCTCCCTCCTTTCCGCATGTCTTCGTGGTGTATGGCCACTGCACATTTTTCAGGTCCCCTGCTTCAAAAAGCTAATGGCCACTGCACATTTTTCAGGTCCCCTACTTCAAAAAGCTAATGGCCACTGCACATTTTTCAGGTCCCCTGCTTCAAAAAGCTAATGAATTTAAATGTGGCGTCCAAAATAAAAGGTCGCGGACGACAATTCGCCACTACCAGAAACTGGCGATTGGGTTCCCTCATCCCCAGTTGCCCTTTAAAAGGTGGAATATCCGTATAAAGCATTTTCTACTTCCTTTCCGCATGCCTTCGTGGTGTAATTGGAAGCATACTCGACGCGTACTTGAGAGGTCCAGGGTTCGAGTCCCCGCGAGGGCACTGCTTAGTTTTCAAGTTTCCTTCTTCAAAAACCCTAATGACTCTGCACACTTCAGAACAAAGAATACACTTCAGAACACTTAAGCAACTTATTTGTCATCATTTTCCTGATTGGTGAATTATTGTGTTTACTTTAGTTGGAATACTGTGCTTGTTGTCCTGGAAATTTCCTTCTTCCTTCATTGTTTGAATCCCTCAATTGTATTACAGTAAGTGTTGAATTGCATGTACTACAACTAGCATTATGAGCAGTTCATAGTGTATTATCTCATTTTCACTGCGCCCTCCTTTTATTTTATATTGCCTTATTCTTTTTCTGATGTAATTAATATAAATTATGCATTCCGCAACTCAGAATTCCTCAGCTGGAAGAGTAAATTTCTGATTAAGTTGAAGGCAGCTTATCCCCATACTCTGCAAATAAGATACACTCGCCACCATCTAAAACTGAAAACTGTAACAAGCTCCACGATTGGTTACATTTATTTACCTGTCATTCAAAGACAATAAGAAATTAAACGTGTCTGATAGAATGTTTTCTAAGGCATTAATCACAATGCTCTATTGCAAATAACTAAGGAAGGACATGTTTGCTCAGCTACTGCCGAGGACAATACAGGCCTCATCGTGTTCCTAGAGCAACTTACGGAATTTCTATCCAGCACCTCAGTCTTCCCAAATATCGTTAAACGACTCACCAATGTCTCCAAAGGCTGACAAAATATTTCCCTGAAATCAGAAGGAAAAATAAGAGGAACGGCAGCTTTGCCAAGATACAATCGAAGCAGGTAATATTTCGTATGCCTAGCAATGCCGGGAACATAGCAGAGTAAGTGAGAGAACAGCTGTGATCGGAGTTAAACGTTAAGTCATTGTATATTTCTATCCAAGGGGTCTTTAAAACTCGCTCCAGTTTAGTTTATGCAATAAGAGACTCTAACTGGAAGTTTTGCAAAATGTTAAAGCAGATAAATTCTGATTTTCTAACACAGTCTCCGTCAAAAACCTAACCTACGGAAAACGTCAGTTATCGTACTTAGTACGACAAATGCAGCTACAATGAACAATATCTGCCAGGCATGTTTTGATCTAAAAACCTTCTGCTTCTCTATACCAAATTTTTGAACGTATTTCTTTCCCGACTCCCTCAGGTTTCTTCAGCTTCTCCAATTTCATTTTCAAGGCATCCATTCTGCCGTCCATAGCCTCGAATTTATTTTCTATTATGGCAGCAATTTCTCTTTCCATTTCCACTTGATCTGCTTCAAGAGCTATTCTTGGATTGACTGGATAGATTCTTCCATCTTTTCATGGCCCGAATTGACATATTCTTTAATGGACTTGACGACCCTTAAGGCATTTAAAGATACATTTACGAAGAGGTCAAACACATTTACAGAGTGCAATTAGGCTTTAATAGCTGTATCTTTAGAATATATTAACGTTTGGCCAGGTTTTTAACTTGGGATACTTCAGTCATAACTGTGAATCTCCACTAGCGATTCCATGTGCGGCAAAGCTTACTCAGCAAAAAAGCGTAAGGTAGAATCGGCAAATTTCATTAACTGAGTAGCATAAAATAAGGAAATGGGCACTGTATGCGAAGTCTGCCTCCTAGCGAGTTCTAAAGTATACCGAGCCTACAAAGTTAAATTTAGACAGTTTAAGAAAACAGAAATGCTTCGCAGAATTCAATTGCAAAAAAAGTTCACTAAATATTCTACCTATCCTTCTATCTCCAGTGCAGCCATCCTCATCGAGTAATGCAATTCAAATATTCCTGATGAATAAATTTTCTTTAGCAATTTTTCAAGAATATTTCAAGGCTCAGGGTCATATCCGTGACATTTTCAACCATGAAGTATTTTAGCCAGCGTTTTTACAATGGTTTTCTAAAACTTTTGCTTTTCTATAGGGAAGGATTTATGTCAGTTCTACTACAAGGTGTTCACTACAACATAGTAGTAGTAGTAGTAGTAACGGAGGACGTGGGCACCATCCCTCTACCATTACAGTTAATCGGTTCTGCGCACGTTCGCCCTTTTCTAGTATTTATTAATAAATCAAAGGTTTTTACATTGCCGTATAGTGTGCCATATAGTGCCATATAAAAAATAAATAAAAATAGAAATCTTAAAGTAGTACTTTATAGTCCTTCATGAAGTGAATCTTTGTAAGCAATTCTTTATAAAATGTCGAAATTTGTCCTTAGTAAAATCCGTACACATAGTCCACTAGAACATAGCAATCACCAGCGCTTATGTATTCCCGTTATGAGATATTTGAGCTATGCTGACTGGGTATGAACATGTCCATACGAAATGCACGGCCCTCTTCATGCTAGGTCTGGCTGTTGAGATCTTTCATAGAGAGCGTTGTAGCACCCCTCAACTGTGTAAGAAAAGTTTCGATCTGAGCGGGAGTTGGCGTGGGTTTTTGAGAATGTAGTGTGTAGATCTGTGTAACGCGTTTTTGCTACGTAACTGTACTATGTAATAAAATATAATTAAATGTGTTTATTTAAAATGTGGAGCAATTTTGAAGGAGCATACTTCCCACTGGCGAAAGACAGCTTTTCGCTAAGGGGTTGATCTACAAATTAATTAGGATGAACTTAAGTCGGGAAATTATTCCTCTTCAGAATTCCTTCCTTCCCGGTTGAACTTTCAGTGTCAGTCAAGGAAATATCTATTTAGCCTTCAAAAATATCACTGCAGGAGTGCCCCAGGGTACCTATCTTGAGCTCATCCTCTACCTGTTTTACGTAAACGATTTTTTCAGGGATAAATAGTTGGATAACCACACTATGTTAGCTTGCTATGGCAACGGTAGCCGTGAGCTCTACCCAGCTCAATAATGTTATCTCCAAACTTCAGGATTTTGTTTTAGACATTGATGAGTGGCACGAAAATGGAGAATCAGTATAAATAGATCAAAGTTCCTGTCAATATTGAGACACAAGATTCGAAATATAGCATTGAACAGCCACTACTTATTCGGGGAAATTGTGAACCATGTAAATAATATAAGTTATATAGGGGTTATCGTCGACCAAAGGCTCACATGGACTTATCATACTAAGTCCGTCATAACAAAAGTCTGTAGTATCGTCAACCAACTTTTTGTACTTTTTGAAATTTACTCTGGAATGCCTCTTAATAAAAAGAGAAGGATATACCTATGCACTAGAAAGCCAGTTATATGCTACGCATCTGCAGCCTGAGCGTCAGCCTCAAAGGTAGACTTTCACAAATTTCAGGCAGTACAGAAGAAGATTCTGAGAAGAATTGTAAACGCACATTACCTGATTCGAAATAAACTGATCCATGATGACTTGAAAATCGACCCTATAATGGACCACATTACTAAACGTAATTAGCGTTTCTTCAAAACTGGATTTAACTGCGATGCTGCAAATATTTCAGAAGTTCTTAGTTACCAAATCATTCTAGAAGTCAATTTGATCAGACCATTCGCTACTTACATGCTTAGAGATCACAACTTCGTACCTAGCTTGGACTACCAACGTTTACTTGTTTTCTTGCGCGGCGTCACTTTTGTCTCTCGTCGCTTTCCATAAGATTAGGACACTTGCAGTAGGGGAGAAAATAGCCTTCCCACATTTACCTCATTTTCTGGAACGTCCCACTAGTTTCACCTGCTAGCTTATCAAAGTCATTTGCCCTAAGTTGCTTAATTTTCTTATCTAGCTTATTAAAGTTCCTTCTGAAGCCCATAAACAACTTCATAATTAGTATCAGTATGAACATGTAAAGTTACGTATTGCCAAGATCAGTATCATCGCTGGAGATTTCAATGCAATCAGCACATTATGGAGTGTATTGGAAGGTAATGCAAAAGCATATCCTATCTTACATTAAATACCAGCCCAATACCTTCATTGTTAAGAGTTATGTTGAATTTATCCACCTAGCGGACAATTAGCTCCTGAAGTTTGCCTGATATTTACTTTGGCCTCATAAGCTGTATTCTCTGTCATCAAACTGTGGAAGGTCAATGACATTCCATCCCTTAGTGATCATCCAGCTTTTCTTGATATTACCCAAAAATATACCGTGAAAAATAGAATAAGCACTAAATAGTTCCATCCAGCCAAACTCAACAAAGCTGCTTTATATACTACAATAGATCAAATCTCCATACGTACGGACACTCGCTGCGTTACATTAGAGCTGTAGTAAAAAGCAAGAGCTCATGTTTTTCATAATTCAATTACATAAACATTTTTCTTGGTATGGGATACATTTTCGAAAATAAAATACATTGCGAAGAATGACGACTGGACTCTGGCCGTTAGACGAAAAATGGCGACAGTGCTGAGACGACGATTGCAGTGGTATCATGATCCTTCAAGTCTGCATTCTATTATAAAATTCTAGAAATGCAGGGTAGTTTTCAAGAAAGTTATAGAAAAGGACGAAACTTGATTTTTGGCATACTCACTTATTGCACAACATATCAAAGAAATTTATTCTGACTGTTAAGTTCGCAGTTGATTCGTTTCGGTTTACAGAGAAAAACCTAATCTGTACTATACTTGCACACAAATATGTATTTCATACTTACATTTACTTCATGACTATTGTAATCATTTTATGAGATATAAATTTAAGATTAACTTTTAAGAACAATATATGTTGAATTTACTGCTTATACATACATCATAATATCAGTCTTCAGAGTAATATTAACAGTTTTTAGATTTTCAAGTACAAACGCTATCCCACAAAACATAGGCAAAGTAACAAGGCAAACGGAAGATTAGAACTAATAAAACGCCATTAATTGGTTCCGATGTATCGCTTCGTTTAAGAGTTATGCGACTTCATCTCTGACTTCTCTTCACTTTCGATTCAGCAAACTTGTACCATTCTCGAAACTGTCTACATAGAATATGCGAGTACCTCAGCATGTGTTTGTCAAGTTTAAAAGCTGCTGTTGCAGCAACTGGCAAATGATAGCACCAGACATATCCAACTGCTACCGAGAGGTTTCGGCTATATTTGGTTCACGAGGTTCGAAAATGCAGAAGCTAAAAGTTTGGGGAACTCCTCGATGCGCATGTTATTTGTGAAAAATAGTTGGGTACGAGCATTAAGTTACCTCACAAAGGTATTTCTCCCCGCCTTCTTAGCATGCCTTTGTGGTGTAGGGGTCAGCACGCTCGACGCGTATTTGAGAGGTCCGTGATTCGAGTCCCGGCGAAGGCGGTGCTCATTTTTCATTTTTCCTGCTTCGAAATAACCTAGTGTCTCTACAGCCCGAACTAAAAGGGTGGTGGATGATGATTCTCCACACCCAGGATTTAGCGAATGGGCCCTCTAAAAATCCCAGTCGCATTTTAAAAGAGAGAGTATATGAGGTATTTCTTCCGCCTTCTTAGCATGTCTTCGTACTGTAGTGGTCTGCACGCTGGACGCGTGTTCCAGAAACCGTGGTTCGATTCCCGGCGAGGCGTTGCTCGTTTTTCATCTTTCCTGCTTCCAAATAAATGTCTCTACCACCTTTACTACCGATAGCAAGGAGGACCATTTACTGGGTCAATTAACATATCGGCTAGGTAGCCTCATGCTTGAATTTATCTTCGCTTCAATAGTTACATGTTGTGCTCAAAAGAGTTATTTTTCTTATTTACAAATTTACGATTGTAGAGAAATTTTTAATGTTATATATGTTATCTTTACATATTTCCAGTAAATTTCGCAGTAGGATCTTAACAAGTTAATATGCACTACAGTTGCGCCTTGAAAGCTGTAATAGCAAAGGTATAAAATGTTTCACTTTCTCAGCTAGTGTCAGTACTCAGATTTCAAGGTAGTATAAGCATTATTTTTCATATCTTAAATTTTAGAAAATCAATTCTATAATCTGTTTGCTTTCAGCTATAATTAATTATAATTCATTTTAGAAAAATTCAAACCCATATCATCAAATCCATGTGTAATTTCGTGGCCAATAATGCTGCCAATGGATCCAAAGTTTAGATACCTAAAATAAATTTTGAAAATTATAGCAACCATATCCACCACTTTTAAGTATGTTTTTAATCAAATCACATGATTACAGATAAATGCACGTCTTTTAAATTTTTATTTCAGGAAAACTCTAATAACTTACTTTGGTCGATCATTACCGTATAAGGGTTCTTGTAAAACTCCTGCAGGAAATGCTATAAAAAAGTTTAAAAAGACTGTACTCATGTAATCAAAATAAACTCAATTAAAAATTTTACTCAATTTAATATTTTGAATATTAATAAATGACTTAAAATTACCCAACGATACTCAAAGCAGCCATTTCTTTGTACACTTTTAATTGCTTTTATTGTTCCATCGAGACAAGGGATCATTTTGTAGTTTAAGAGGACTCATACACCTTAAAACCCATAAGATTTCGAATATGTAACTGTTGCAAGAATTGGGATAACTTATTTAAAGCACTTACTTCCATCTTTTTACAGCTGAAACGTAATATAGTGCGATCTGAAATAGTAATTAGAAAGTTTGTTGACAGAATTTTTAATAATTTATTTTTGAAAAAGTTCGTCATTGCCCCTTGCCCGCAAGTTAAAACTCCTGTTGCAAATTTAATTCCATATTTAATATAGATTTTTAACATTTGGAAAAATTTGACCAAAAATTCTAAGAATTTCGTTAAATTTTATTTTTTGGAGTTTGATTTATAAATGTGTTTTATTAAAAAAAATCTGCAATGTTTCGTGATAAAATTTTTAATATTAAAAATATCAGATTTTTGGTTCAGCTAGAAAATATAAAGAATTGCATCAAATTTAAGTATGTACATTAGTTTTTAAAATACCATGCGCGCAAGGTGGAAAAATTATAAGGTATTTCTCTCGCCCCTAGCGTTGCCTTCGTGGTGGGAGTGGTCATGCACGGGGCCGTTTGACGTCCGTGGTTCGATTCCCGGCGAAGGCGGTGCTAATTTCATCTTACCTGCTTCCAAAATATCCTAATGTCTCTACAGGGGCGCCAACTAAAAGGGTTGTGGATGAGGACTTTCCACACTCAGGATTTGGCGTTTGGGTCCCCTAAAACCTCAGTCGCCATTAAAAGGGAGAGTATATAAGGTATTTTCCCCGCCTTCTTAGCGTGCCTTCGTGGTATGGTGTCGCTGGGCCCGTATTCCAGAGGTCCGTGGTTCGATTCCCGGCGAAGACGTTGCTAATTTTTCATCTTTCCTGTTGCCAAAAATTTACCTAATGTGTCTACAAAGTGACTGTACTTTAATTTTAATACGCTTCGACTGAAAGAAAATAACTACGTTCTTACGGTTAAACATCTGTTTCACATAAATAACGCAACGGGCGGATATAGCGTCAGAAGCATCTAAAAGCACTTTTTGTAAACGCTTATGTGATAAGTGATCTTTGAAGCAATGAAAAGCTGAATGATTTAAGCGTTTATTAAATCACTTTATCAGAAACATGCTGAGTTAGCAGCGTAATACCTGCGCCTTTAAAACACTTATTTGAAAGGCATTTTTTTCTTTTTATCGTTTCTAGGTTTTGCACGGAATTAGTCGAATTATTAACTTTATATTTTACTAAGCTTTCAAAACTTTGAACACGAAAGATGTTTTTTTATAGATGATTAGGGGAAATATTAATTTGCAGGCATGGCGTTGAATAAATTAAAATAAATTAAAATTAATAAATTAAAAACTGCAGTTAAAAATATATGTTACGGTGAAACACCGAAATCTGGAGAATGTCGACTTTCACCGGTGAATATCAACATTCACATAGTCGCTTGGTGTATGTCCGAAATATTTTCCAAATACTCTTATTTCTGACTTACACCGGTGAATGTCGACATTCACCAGTGCCAAGAGTGAATGTTGAAACATATAAGAATATTATATTTTCTTTCTAATCCAGCTCGAAAAAAACTACTTGAGACTTAAAATAAGAACTTAATAAATAAGAACTTAAAAAAACGCAGTACATTCAGAAGGAAAAGGAAAATAATAGAAGTTAAAAAACTTAATAATTATGTGATTCAATTTTATTTATTGCAACAACTTAAAACTATTTGACACTTTGAATTGCACAACCTGCTTTTACAACTGCATTGATTGTGGAACACTTCCTTTGTAATGACAGATGAATATATTCCTCTTTTCGACCTACACCAGAGCATATATGTGATTGTCATATATACACCGGTGAGGGTCCGAATGTACAAGAATGTAATGCTATATTCGATCTTTCACCAACGCATTTGGTGAATGTTGACATTCTCCGGTGAAAGTCGACATTCTCCAATTTCAGTCTTTCATGGTAACATGTACACACTTTGTAATTCCGAAGACGAAATTTATATTGGAGTTACCGCACATAGGTAAGTTCTATCCGACAGTTCGAAATAATTTGGAAGGGTGAAGTCATGCAAATATATGTAAATTTTAGTATGGTTTATCAACAGAGCTGTACCAGGTGGCGAAATATTTTATGAAATAGTAGATGAATATACTTTTACATGAACATGGAAATGTTATATATGGTCTTTATATTTGAAAAGTAAAAAATGTATTTCTACATGTAATAAAAGGAAGAGTCTGTTTCTGTATGGTGCGTGTCTTTCGTTCTGCTGCACGTAAGCTAATAGACCCGGGGCTACGAAATTGGGTACATAGGGGGTACATCTGGACAAGTGCCAGTCCACCTCGAAGCGATTTTTTCAAAGTTCGAATAAGCTTTTTTTTTTTTTTTTTTTTTTTTTTTTTTTTTTCCAGGTTTATGATTTTTGATGAAATGGCATCAAATGGATGGTATGCAGCAACAATGGCACGCAGCCATTGTTGCTGATATATCCCTGTTGCCATCGTTGCTGATATCAACACTGTTGTGACTCGAAAAAATGAGAGCGATTATTCTGCGCAGTTTTTAAACTTAATGCTTATCTTAAATACTGGACGTTTGTTTTCCGGTACATTTAAAAGCCAGAAGAAGGCTGGCCGCATAGCGGCTAGTAAGTCTATAAAAACAATTTAATGTTTTCAATTAAATGTATCATAAATTAAATTTTAATTAAAATCAATCAAATTAAAAAGCAAAGCGAATAATATTTTGAAGAAGAGCATCTGTTTCTATTAAATATTATTAGCTTAATTTATAAATCAGTAACAAAAAAAATTAAATTTATAAGAGAAACATCTTTTACGCTACCGAATGGCAACAAAGTGGAATGAGAAATGAAACAGCAAGTTAACAGCGGACGCCATTTAAAGGAATCAGCGCGAAATCGCATTTCGAGGCTAAAGCCATTTTTGGCTAATAAGTAAAGTCTTATACCATAAAACATACCTTAAGTGGGGATCAAAGAACTTCGAATAGTTTCTACGATTGCAAATTGCTTGCAGGAAATTGAGTTATGGGTGCTTATTTTGGCTACCTGTCAGCGCATATCGGCTAATACACAAGTACTTTAATTTCTATTTTGCATTTTACAGATATATTTAAGCTACCGTTAAGGAACGTGACAGTAGTTTTTCCCTTAAAGAACTTATCTTTAATTCTAGTACTTATCTTTAATTCCCCGAAAGAAGCACTGGTTCTGTTATCGAATTTGACAACCCTTCTCAAGCTGAATGATTAATAATTTTTTGAGTATGAATTTTGCTTCTATTTGCGATTTGTAAGAAAATTGAAAGTCTAAAATCAAAACTTTCTATTGCATTATACGCAAAATTCACGAAAATACAGAAATCAGAAATGTCAAATGTTTCGTGTTTGTATCAAAATATATCATGTGTTACCGTGAAAGACCGAAATTGGAGAATGTCGACTTTCACCGGAGAATGTCAATATTCACCAAATACGTCGGTGAAAGATCGAATATTTCTTTACATTCTTGTACATTCGGACCCTCACCGATGTATGTCGACAATCACAGATATGCTCTGGTGTAGGTCGAAAAGAGAGGAGTATATGTACACGCTGCCATTCCAAAAGGAAGTGTTCCACAAATAAATGCAGTTGTAAAAGCAAGGGTCTCTTGTGCAATTCAAAGTGTCATAATAGTTTAAATGTTGCAACAAATAAGATTTGAATCACATAATTTAGTAAGTTTATAACTTCTATTATTTTCCTTTCTCATTTTGAATGTACTGTGTGTTTTAAGTTATGTTCTTAAGTTCTTATTGAGTTTCAAGCGCGTTTTTTCGCGAATGAATTACGGAGAAGAAAACATAATATTCTTATATGTTCAACATTCAGCATTAGTACATGGTGAATGTAGATATTCACCGGTGTAAGTCAGAAATAAGAGTATTTGGAAAATATTTCGGACATACACCAAGCGACTATGTGAATGTTGACATTCACCGGTGAAAGTCGACATTCTCCAGATTTCGGTGTTTCACCGTAACACATCCACAAATTAAAAAGTAATTATATTCTTAAAGAAAGGCCTTTACAGTGAGTGATATTATTGGAGTCAGAGGTCACTTTGTAGATTTCAACGTGAGATAAAATGCTTAAATTATCTTTGCTTTTTATTCAATGCTAGAAATATTAACTTTTATATTAAGTAGCAATGTTCAGTTTGGTGGAGAAGCAAGGCTCTCTCTGATTTACAGATTCAAGTAATTATTATCTTATTGAGTGTTAAAATTTCGAAGTTCAAATTTAAAGAAAATGAAAGAGGAAGTGCTTACTCATGCTGTTCTCTAGAAAACTATAATAAGCATTTACTATAACTACCATTGCGTAGTTCTTCCACCTGCAAATAAATAGGTATCCATATAATTATGTTGGTTTTAATTGGTAACTGTCTATGTGTGACAGATTTAAATTTAAATTTGCTTATTTATTGACAGGTAAATTCCCAAATATAAGATCGAAGAATGAAAAATGCAGAAAAAAATGCCACAGATTTATTTTTATTTTCATACTTAAATTTTAGTAGCAATAAATACAGATTAAACGCAAATCTTTTTAAGCACTCACTACATAAATAAAACTTCCGGCTGCTTTTACTTGATATAATACTCTTATTAGTTCTTTATATAACTCAGCCTCTTACCGCTTTCTGCAATCAAGGGCAGTTATACCATCATGGTGGGGATTTAAAGTTACATTGCAGCCGCGTGGACTACCGCGAATTTATGAAACTACCGCGATTTTCTAAGCTTTTACAAACATCGGTATTTTATCTAATGGCAAAAAATGCTACAGCTTCGAAATTCTGTTATTTTTTTAAATTTTTGTTGTAAGGTATTTTCTCCTTCCTTCCAGCATGCTTTCGTGATGTAACGGTAGCACAATCGGCACGTATCGAGAGGTGCCTTCGTGATGTAACGGTAGCACAATCGGCACGTATCGAGAGGTGCCTTCGTGATGTAACGGTAGCACAATAGGCACGTATTGAAAGTCCTGGTGAGGGTATTGAACATTTTTCCACGTCTCCTGCTTCGAAAAACCCAATGACCATGCACTGCTACCATTGCTGAATATTTTTCCATTCAGATACTTTCCATGCCACCTTACATTATCATCCCCCCTGCAAATAGAATTCTGTACTAATTTTTACACATAATCAACATGTTAATTTTTATGTTCAGCATTCCTTGTGTCAACCCACAACAAACCAAAATTAAGTAGATTTAAGTAAAGAAAGCGAATGACATTTACAGAAGGAATATTGACAATTCAGCAAGTGGAGCTATAACTTCTATTTAACTTGCTGATTAGATAGCTGAAATGATTTGTTGAAAACCTCCTGCTTAGATAGCTGAAATGGATGAGTTCAGGCATTTTGTCAATAAAGTTAAACCTCCCATAACGAGTCATTCACGTAACGAGCAAAATGAACTTTTTTTAATTGCTTTTTTATCCAATGGCGGGAACTCGCCTATTCAGCACTGTCCACTCTTGAGGCTAGACGTGGTAGCCATTTTCTTGTGGAGGGTACCACCTCTACCTCCTATGACGAGACGAACAGTTACAACCCTGCCTTCTCCGGGATTCGAACCCGTGCCCTTCGCTACAGCGCTAGGCTTCCGTAACCACTATACCATCTAGACGGATGGAAATGAAACTTAAAAAACGAGTTTCTACAGAAGCAGAGTTTCTCAGAAGTGATGTGGAGACAATGTGACTATTCACAGCTGGTTCACCAGCGGCCGAAAGGTAAAAGCCGCTGAACACTGGTAATCGGTCCGGGGTTCGAGTCCCAGCGAACGGGCTGGCTGCATGGGCGTTTTCGCGGTTTTCTCAATGGATACGAGCCAGTTTCCCTTAAAAAGACCTCCACGGGGCATCCCTCCCTTTCCGTGTAGTGCCTAAGGGTGGAGCACGTAATAAGCAAAAAATGTGACTTCACAAGCAGGATTAAGGCCATATCTTGGTTAAAGCTACCCCGAACAGCGTTGCCGAAGGTGACTCCGAGGGGTTTGAAGCTTATATTAAAAGATATCGTGTAGTGATCAATGTTAAGGGGCTAGAAGTGGATATAGCAACGACATAGATGAGCTAGTGGAGCTACCGGTTGTAGGAGCTGACTACAAAAGACCTTATGGAGCTGCATTCTGTGTCACAGCAAAGAAGATGTGAAAAAGATTTCGTCAGGGAAGAAGATGACAGCCCCAACAAAGCAAGAGGCTTTCACTCAAATAAGAGAGATGCTTTCAGCATGTCAGATTGCTGTATCCTGCATTGAAAAGCATCACCCTTATAAGGCAGTAGCTATGCGAGTTATAAATTTATTTAACGGTAATTGCTGTGTCTCATTTTCACGAAATATTGTAGCGTAAACAAATCATATGTTTTTAGACAACTCAGCTGCAAAAAAGAATGTATGAATTACAATTTTATAAATTTGAGTATTTGTTTTTCGGAATGGAACACGTTATCCTATTTTATATTGATTCCTATGGAGAAAAATTATTTCGCTTATCGAACATTTTGCCTTATAAGTAAGATTCGCAAAAGAATTAAACTCGCTAAGCGAAGTTCCATTGTATTTACATTTAGACATCACGGAGATTTGAAGCCTGTAATCTACTATTTGATTTGTAATTATTTAATTATTGAGACCACACGAAAAGGAAGATAATAATTATTTTTATATTATTACATATGTAGAGTTTATTATCTCGTAAATAAACGTATTTGTGGATTTTAAAGCAAATGGTTTTCAATACACTTACAGTTTTCAGAGAAAAGCAATTTTTTATTGTTATTTTAATGCTAAGTTATTGTTGTATTCGGATAGACTGTCCTAGATTCGTAAAGGAAATTCTAAATTAATATTCCGTGTTTAATAAAACGAAGAAATATAATAAACTGTCATTTTTTTATGAAAAATACAGAAAAGCACCTAAATTATGCCTTTCTCAGTTAAGGAAAAAATAGATGGCAATTTTCATTTTACGACAAAAAGGAAAAGAGAAAGACATGAAAGAATGATCGGCATTGCTTAACGCAGTTATTGCAGTTAGCTTTAAAGTTACTGTTACGTTAGCAAATTAAAATTTCAAAGCATTTCATGATTATCATCATTCTTTATGATGTAATTAGCAGATGAAGAGAAGATATTCAACCAAAAAATAGCAATTTAAATTTAAATTTGCCGCTTTTTGTGAAAATGAATATTAAAAAGAAGATAAGGAAAAATAGAAAATGTGCTTAAGGGATTTTCTGGTGCAATTAAAATGTATTTGGTTGCTAAATATCATCTTGTACGACACTCAAGGTACGTATAAACTTATATGTAATTTTCTCGAAGTAATGTTTATTGCTATTACGCGGAAGGCGATTATTGGATTATCGCAAAACATAGAAAGGTTATGTGCTTAGGGAAAAGACGTTTTAGATGTAAGCTAGTTACTTCCTTCTCCCAGAACGCCTTCGTGGTGTAACTGTTAGCACATTCGGCGCGTATTCGAGAGCTCCAGGTTCGAGCTCCGGTGAGGGCATTGCACATTTTTCACGTCTTCCAGGTTCAAAATAACCTAATGACTGACCTATTTGACCAGGTTCAAAATAACCTAATGAACGATTAACCACCAGTATTTAGCGAATGGGTCCTCTAATCACCAGTCGCCTTTTAAAAGGGGGGGTATATAAGATATTTTCTCCCTCCTTTCAGCATGCCTTCGTGGTGTACCGGTTAGCACACTCGGCGCGTATTCGAGAGATCCAGGGTCGAGTCTCGGCACATTTTTCACGTTTTCCAGCTTCAAAATAACCTAATGACTCTACATAGAGAAACTTACATGTGTTCACGTTGCACATGGAACCCGCCTCATCAGACAACCTATGCTCAAAATTTCAACCCGATTCGAACTATGGGTATTCAGCCAATTCACCGCGCTCATATTTACTATGAATGAGTTTATTACTATGAAAGTGGAAAACTGCTAGATCTATTGATATATGAACTACACCACTGAAAATTTATAAAAAAGGCTGCCAGTAGTCACGGGGCTACTATCACTCAAGCTCTCGTTCTAGGTACTACAGAGTCTCTTCGCCTTTTCAGTTAGAAACTGTGCATACGATATTTCTGCTCATATATTAGAATTTGCAATTATCGTTTGATTCTTTTTTTAATGTTATTGTGACAATTTTTGGGCATAATTAGAATTTTAATTTTCGTTACCCAAGAACGGTAGAAAATTTTCCTTTGTGAATTAATTGCTTCCCTCCAAATCCGTCAGTTCAAATAACGCGTATTTGATTTCGGTTACACGGAAACGTTCTAGTATCTTAAAGAAAAAAAGTCTCGTTTTAGAATAATAAAAGAGAAAAGAACGCACAAAACTGAAGCAAGATTCCCGAGCGATAGTATTTTCATTTTTCAATAAGCTGAGAATTATTATTAATAGCATATCTTATGTTTCCAATCCCGAAGACTTGCTGTGTGGCTTCAAACTCTTAAGTTTGCTGCTCTTACAAAATATAATTTTTAGCAAATTCGCAGTAAATTATAAGGTTCTAGAAGTTAAAATTTTACATACAGTCCTTTTATGGAAGGTTTTCGAAGAAGAGAGAAACTCTCGTCAGTTTCCCAAATGTCTAATTTTCTTCTCATGCCGAAATAACTTTCGCTGGTGTTAAATTTCAACTGAAAAAATAATGGAGTTTGTTATTAGATCTGTAAAAATCGCATAAATAAAAATTTGTTGTAAAGTTTTAAAATAAGCACAAGCGTATTACTGTAGAAGTACTTACGTCTTTGTATAAGTCAGATACGTAAGAATCATTTAGGAGCTCCTTCGGAAAGCCAATATGTAAATGCATGGCTTCAGCCTATAAAAGGTAAACAATACATTTTCTCTTAAAGAATTCGGAAGATTTAGGATGGGCAATTGGATTTTGAAATGTATTTTACTCGTGTTTTAGCTAATCGAGTACAAATTTCTAGTTGACACGCATAGAGTGCATCTAAAACAAACCGGTATCATCTGACAATCAAAGAGTGGAAATGCTATATTTATGTCATAGTGTACATAGAGTACGTAGTATATATTTTCTCTGATGTCATGAATGGTAACATACTGCCCGGGATCTTTTAGACTTTTATAAACCGTTTCTGAAACAGTGGCACAGTAATTTATCGATTTCAGGCAGTTGCTCCGTATGCAAGGTCCAGATTAACCGCATCAGATATATCTGTCAGACATCATATCACATATATCTTTCAGACATTTGTAAAGAATCAACACCGCTTAACCTACGAAGAAACGTATATAGTTGGCACTTCTGGACTTGTCTCATTGGGTACCATTTCTGAAACAATGGCACAACAGTTCTTCCATTGCAGGCTGTTCCTCCGCATGCAAGGTCCACATCAGCCGCCATTCGTGAATTCAACTATCTTACACTCTCCGCATCCAATTACATTATTCTAACTTCATCCATTAAAGTAAACATTTATAAAATACAACAACAAAGCGGACGCTCTCAGGCCTCATGTATGAGCGTGGAACTTCGAAATTCAGCTGTTACTTCTGTTACATCATACGTACCAGAAGAAACAACAGTGACTGCAATTGCTGTAAATAGTCACGAGTAACCTATGAAAGAAACGTAAATAGTTGGAACTTCTATCGGGTACCGTTTCTGAAACAATGGCACAACAATTCTTCCATTGCAGGCTGTTGCTCCATATGCAAGATCCACATCAACCGCCATTCGTGAATTCAACTATCTTACTACCTCCGCATCAAATTATCTTATTCTAACTTCATCCATTAAAGTAAACATTTATAAAATACAGCAATAAAACGGATGCTGTCAGGACTCATGTATGAGTGCGGAACTTCGGAATTCAGCTTTTAATTCTGTTACATATGCACCAGAAGAAACAATAGTGACTGCAATTGCTGTAAATAGTCGCACTCGTGACATTCTACAAAACAAATAGCCAAGAACTGTTAATAATTTCCGGAACCTTTGCAAGGAATTAAAATCAAACATTTTTAAAGAAAATTCTCAAGCAGTTATACTTCACAAGGCGCAACAACGAATCACTTGTAAGCTAATATTTACAACAAACCGAAAAAGTAATCATCATAAAGAGTCATAAAGAAACGAAATACTTAGCAATGATAATCCACAAAATTTTTCTCAGGTTTTCCACAATAATTGAAAAAACACAATCTCCTTACCACGAGATTCCAAAAAATGCAAATCTCAAATTGAGGTTAAGAAACAACCATTAACGAAACTGAAAAAAAATCCTATATAAAGCATCGGATTGAGCAATTCCTTTGTCAGAAGAGAAACGAATGCTCATTAACAGTACATAAAAATTAATCCTTTTCAACGTATAGCCTAATTCTACTTCTGCATTGCAGATATTAGTAGGTGTAATACTTTTGCATATTAACTATTTGAATCAACTAGAGCCAAAGTCCCGAATCTTACCCCCTTTAAATGGTAGCTCAAAGAAATGAATTTTGTTCTGTAGTGTCTAAGAAGACACAAGAAAAACCGTTCTGTGAAATTTTGTCGTCCGGTTTAAATGCAGTTAGTTTTCCTGCATCACACTACGTTCTCCATATCTGCGAAGTAGGAAGCCTAAACTTCGTAACCTATGGTGTCGACACTCAATTGACTTTTAAGGCATCGCATTTACCACTGGGATATGTACAAATAGAACGAAGCACAAACAGTCCTTTTTCGCAGTATATACACACTTGACGCTGTTTCTGAAGCAGTTTTGTTTTTCAACAGAGCTCCCCAAAAGGGAAAATTCCTGAGGTTAAATTTTTTCTAGCACTGATTGATAGAGGCTGTTTTGATGTGGGAAAGAAAGTATACTTTGGAGTGAAAACTGGAGGTATTTATTCCTTGCGCTCGGTCTAATCATATGTTATGCGTTTGAGGACCCACAATATATTCGGGGAATCACTGCGTGATGATGTTTCTTATTCCAAGGTAGCTCACACGAATTAAGAAGAGGGTTAATAGCCTGACTAATGTTTTCCACAACAGTTTAAACCCATTCAGTAACTGAACAGGTAATTCATATTTCGATTGTCGTCCAGCTAAAAGTCAGTAACTGTACCTTTGTATCATCTAGCTTTAAAGGATGATATCAATCAAGAAAATGATATAGTCTGTGCATACTTGAATAATAGGCATAAAAAGATAATTAAAACATGGAAAAGGCGTCTATTAAGTGAAGACAGTATATTTCAATTAGAGGTAACTGTAATACAGATAATACTAGAATATGAAAAAAAAGAAAAAAATGAATAATTAATCATACTAAAATCAGTATTTTATGCCATATGTCATTATGAACTCATAACATAATTGCTCAATAGGGAACTGAATTCCTAAAATATTAAAAAGTTGCAAATACCCGTAAATTATTAACTAATGGATCAAAGAACATGAAAGAAATGATGGAAGTAAACAAAATACAAAATATAAACATGAAAACGAAGCTGCAGAAGACACAGCAACAATAAAAAGCAACAATATTCTTTACGTAACAGGACCAAGAAGTCATCTCCCTACCAATCTGCAAGAAACTTCAGTGCCAATATTGCAGAAGAAGTTGAATATCATGCAAAAGAGAAAGATTAATTTCATTATATTTCCAATTTTATGCTAATAAACTAATAACTACTCCACAGATTGTTGAGTTATGTCACTGAATAAAGCATTTCCTACCTTCCTTCTTTCCAAAAGCATTTCATTAACAGATATCTTCACCTGCGACGAAATAAAAGGCAGTCCGAACTACCTATTCAAGTTGCTAGTAATAAAAGACTTTCACAGTCGGTTGCCCATTACAATTCAAACTCCGAAACATATAGCCTTCCTCATGAAAAGGAAATAACACAGAAGAAATTTCATCAAATTATGGCAACAAAAAATGGCGCAGATTTATATCATGTCTGATGAAAGCTTTTCCCAGTTGAAGAAAGATTCCACTGCGCCAACAATTCATTTTTCTTTTATTCCTTTCAATCTGACGCAAAATTCCATTTTATAAGTTCATCTACAAACTTCATTCTAAGCAAATATCACCACAAGCATTGCATTGTCAAACATGAAAGGATGCATATATACTACAAATTCCTTTTCAAAAATCTGTTCAAGAACTAATGATGGAAAAGTATCGTCTTGAAAATGCGTTGAATTCACAGAAAGCTGCAGTCGAACAAGCAGGATCTATTAATACCACAGTTAATCATTAGTGCCCTCGCTTGCTCACAATTACCTCTGCTGGTGGCTTATAAATTACGTTACCTTGAAAGAATGTATGAGCAATCATGCTGCCATTTATCGCCATGGAGGTGGTGTTTAGAATCCTTCATTGTTTGCATGATTAGTATTTCTTTTTGTACTTTTTATTTCTCTCAGAATTTTGTCATTAGGTTTGTCGTTAGGCTTAACTGAATAACTTCCTGTGTTCAAAGTACATAAAATTATTCAAATCGAAATTTGGAAACATGAAACAAATCAACACGTTTTCTGTTACACAGGAAAAAAAATTCCTTTGAAAATTCACTTTTTATAAGGAATAAAAGACGTAAATAAATATTTAATCTAAGGTTAATTTTATATGAAATTCTACTATTCTAATTTTTAAGTAAATGACAGTCGTTATTATTTTCAAAAGATTTTGAGATTTAAGCTATGTATAAGAGGAAAAAAAACTTTTTCAACATTATTTGATCTCAAAAACTTGGCGAAATAACAGAGATGGATTCAGAATTCTGAATAAAATATTCATCTTTTCACTTTACCATCGATATGTTGCCATTTTTTTTCCCAGTGTAACTGATAAATATACAGGATGATTATAATTAAAGTTTAAGTTTCAAAACGCTATAGAAAAAGAACCACTCATGAAAATGACGCCAAATTTGAAAGGAATGTTATTGAAGAAGGCGGAAAGTGTATGGCAGAAGAAAAAATTAGTTTCAAAAGTTAGCAATAGATGGCGCTGCAAGCGGAAGAAGACGTAAATTAAAATGTTAGTTAAATTTCAGTGTTATAAAGCCGCCAAGGTAACCAGGCTGTTCCTCATTTCGCGTCTCAGACGTTCGCCATGGGTGTTTCACTGCAGGACCGCGCTCTGCTGGTAAAGCTGTATTACAAGAATGATGATTGTGTGCAAGAGTAGCTCTGCAAAAATTCAGGACACTGAAGGGTATAAAAGAAAGCGTTGGTCCAATGAGTGTCGTAGGTCTAAAGAAAATGATGCAAAAATTCGAAACGACAGGTTCGTTTGATGTGCAATCTGGTAGAGGGAGGAAAAACGAGTGCATTCGACGGTAGTTGAAGAAGTGGCCACAGCATTACAGGAGGGGTCGGCCGGGGGTGTGCAACCGTGCAGTGCACGAGGAATTGCCCGAACATTGGACAGGCCTACGAGCACGGTGCTGAAAATTGTACGAAACATCCTGCAATGCTATCCGTTACAAAATTGGCCATGTGCAGGAGTTGCTTCCGCCTGACCTGACAGCTAGGGAAACGTTTGCGTTAGAATTCCTGGCTCGCATGGAAGTGGATAATGAATGGCCGTGGAAAGTTTTGTGGAGAGATGAAGCCCATTTCCATCTTACAGGATACGTGAATACCCAGAATTTTCGAATATGGGCAACAGAAAATCCACTGGCAACGCACCCCGTACCACTTCATCTTGAAAAGGTCACGGTATGGTGTGGCTTTACGGCATCATTCATCCTAAAACCATATTTTTTCGAGCAGACGGGTGCTTCCGGTCCTGTTACTGCAACCGTCACTGGTCAGAGGTATGCGTCTCTTTTGCGCAACCACGTGATTCCAGCTCTGCAACAGCGTAGATGTGTGGATGAAATCATTTTTATGCAAGATGCACATCCCGTGAAGCAGCTGCTGAGGCCCCATTTCGGAAATGCTCGAATTATCAGCCGTCATTTCCCTACAGCCTGGCCGTCCCGATCGCCTGATCTTACTCCGTGTGATTTCTGGCTGTGGGGATATCTGAAGGATGTTGTGTTCCGTGCTCCAATTGCAAATTTAGCGGAATTAAAGGCACGCATTTCGCAACACATTCTGAACATAACCCCGGAGACACTGCGATCCGTTGTGGAACATGCTGTTTGTCGCTTTCAACTTGTTGCACACAACACCATATTGAACATGTTTTGTGCCAGTCTCGCGACAATTCCGAACTTCTTTGATGAATGGTTCTTATGCGGTATGTCGCCGCAAAACTCTTGAAACCGATTTGTCCCTTTCGATGTGATATGTACAGTCATGCAAATAAAATTATTCAACAATTCTAATTTTTCAATGCGTTTTAATGTGTAACTTCCACCTTAGCCATTGTTTTACGAATCGCTTCTCGTTTCTCGTCGTGATTCTGCCGCTTACAGCGCCATCTGTTGCTAACTTTTGAAACTAAATTTTTCTTCTGCCATACGCTTTCCGCCTTCTTCAACAAACATTCCTTTCAAATTTACATCAATCATTTTTCATCAGTGGTTCTTTTTTTATAGCGTTTTGAAACTTAAACTTTAATTACAATCACCCTGTACTTATTCAGGTAAAAGATGTACACTTTATTTGCTTTCTTAATTTACTTTGAAATATAGCATTTGTATTTATTAGTAAATAGTGTTCTATTTATAATATAATTACTTTGAAATATAGTAATAATAATGTTTCCTTTCCTAATGCAACTGATAAATATACTCATTTAGGTAAAAGATGTAATCATACATGTATATCATATACTTTATCTCTCGACGGAAGCCTTTTTGCAAGGATTTTGCTTTGGTTTTCCATCTGTGGAACATGAAAACAAGTATGTGAGAGCCCTTGGAATTGTCATCTCCGCTAAGGTATTCCTTCCCAAATTCGAGAACTCTCTCATAATTTTGTGTAATCAATCAAATAATTAGTGAAAACAGTGGTTTTTAGGAGAATGTTCATTAATTTGTCTCCGTACACACACACACCATATATCTATATCTATCTATCAATATATCAGGGTGCTTCATAGATCATGGGACTTCAAAGTAAATTATATTGGAGGGGTGGCGGAGCGTACTAAAACATGCATTTTTTGTATAGGAATGTAGGATCTAAAGTGACGGGTTAAGGCAGGAACGCAAAAAAACGACACGAGAGGAAAATGTGTTTATGTATAAAATCAACGCAAAGTGCTTCTTTTCAGCAATACAGTATTCACAATAAATGTTCAGAAAAGGGAACACTAACAGTAATAGGAACTACAGCTGTGATTGGCTGGCAATGCAGCGGTAGAGGGCGGTAGTGAGCCGGACAAACCAAGAGGATCATTCACAACTCTGATGTTGAGCGTGATGGGTGAGTTTACGCACAGGGAAGAAGCTGACATGTATCTCATGTATGGTGCTGCTAATGGGAACGACAGAGCAGCGCTACGGTTGTACCAAGAACGGTTTCCGAACAGGCGTATGTCGAAGCACACAATGTTCGAGAGGTTGCGTCGGTCTCTGTGTGAAAACGGGTCATTAGAAGCCACCACTGACACTAGGAGCGGAAGAAGAAGTGTACGACAACCTCGCATTGAAGAATCTATCTTGAACATCGTGCATGAATCACCTCAGACAAGTACAAGAACTAATGCACGTTGTCTGCAGCTGAGTCGTTCCACCATTTGGAGAGTATTGTAGGAAAATGTTTTGCACCCATACCATTTGCAGAGAGTCCAAGCCTTGCAAGAGACAGATTACGCTCTTCGAGTTCATTTCTGTCATTGGTTCTTGCATTGACTTTGGTGGTCATTCTTCTTGTCATTTGGAGTGCGGCGCAGGCGGATTTCCTATTGGATATGCTATTAACAAACGAGGGAACGTTCTCACAGGATGGCGTCTTTAATAGCCACAACATGCACGTGTGGGCAACTCATAATCCACATGACACACGTCCACATGCATTCCAAACCCGCTTCTCCGTGAATGCGTGGGCGGATATTGTTAACGGACTACCTCATAGGCCCATACCTTTTACCTGCGCGTACAACTGGCTTATGCTATCATATTGTTTTGCAAGAGGTGCTACCGGAATTGCTACAGGATGTTCCGGCTGTCGTTCGTGATCGCATGTGGTTACAGCATGATGGTGCACCAGCCCATAACCACGTGCGGGTCTGCAATTACTTATATGGGACATTTCCGGGCCTATAGATTGGCCGTGGTGCACCCGTTCGATGGCCACCCCGTTCGCCAGATTTATCCAGCTTGGTTTTTTTTATGGGGCCATCTGAAGAGCATCATTTACGAGACTCCCGCTGACTCGCTGGAGGACTTTGTTAAACGAATATCTACTGCGGCTGCAAGCGTGAGCGAAATGCCTAACATTTTCCAGTTCGAACGAACTCTTCTACTACGCTATCAAGCATGTATTACTGCTGGTGGTCGCAATTTTGAACATTTATTGTGAATACTGTATTGCTACAAAGAAGCACTTTCGTGATTTGAAACACATTTTCTCTCGTGTCGTGTTTTTGCGTTCCTGCCTTAACCCGTCACTTTAGACCCTACATTCCTATAAAAATGCATGATTTAGTACGCTCCACCACCCCTCCAAGTTTGCCCCATGATCTATTAAACACCCTGTATATATGTATATAAACATGCATGTAAAACATAAAGAAAATAAATCTCTAATAAATTACTAACTTGATTAGCAATACCTTTTTGAATTTCTTCTTTAGATTTTTATATGTCCCCTTACTAGTATTTGCCATGCATCAAACTTCTCTCGACTACATCTTTTCAAAATCAATCCATACATATTATTTATCAAGGCTGATGATGTAACTAATTCAAACTTAAACCGAAACTTTCTCTGGGGGAACTTCCATATTGGATGACTGGACACTTTTTGCTTTTACCTGTGTTCTAGACACTACTTTCTTGCTCTCTTCCCATCGCCCAATGTAAGTGTTCTTGAATAGGCAAGATTAGGGTGAATTGTGGCTACAAATGTCAGTTGAAATAAAGATGAGTATTTAATATATATAATCATAGGAATGAAAGGGGAATACTCGTATTATAATTACTATATTAAGCAAAATTAAGAAAGCCAATAAAGTCTACATAAATTCAAGTTTACAAAGTAGTAATTTTTAAGTAATATTTAAAAGCAACGTTTTCTATTGCTTTTAAATATTACCTAAAAATTACTACTTTATATCACCTTTTGTAAATTGGAATTTATGTAGACTTTCATTCGCTTTCTTAATTTTACTTTGGAATATAGTAATTATAATAGGAGTGTTCCCCCCTTTCATTCTTAACCTCGTTTCACATTTTACATAAAACTGATTTGTTTCAAAAACTACGTTGGAAAAATTTCCGCGTAGAATGACTGGAAAGCTTATACTTCGATGATTAGGTAAAATTCTTTTTTATGTTCATATGGAAGTTGTGATTGTCTTCTTTGTAATATGAATACGAAAGAGTTTCCATTAAAGTGTCCTCATAAAAGCATCCTTAGGCAAGTATCCGTCCTGTGGTTTACCGCATTCTAAATAGCCTAAGATAGCTAACCTATCCCACTGCACCTTCTAAAAGCGATCTAGGACATGAATTAATTAACAGAAAAGGATTGTTATTAAGCCTTAAAAATGTTGTATGGATTTTTATGTTTCCATAGAAATCACTATGATTCTTTTAAAAACAAAATTTTAAATTGATTTATTTGAGTTAATTTAACTGAGAGTCTTAGAAAACTCTCAGTTAAATTGAGAGTCTTAAGAATGTTAACTGAGCGTCTTAAGAATGTTGAATGGATTTTTATGTTTCCATAGAAATCACTATGATTCTTTTAAAAACAAAATTTGAAATTGATTTATTTGAGTTAATTTAACTGAGAGTCTTAGAAGACACGATAATTATCAAGAGCTTTCTGAGGGTAGCTATTTGTTACGTCATAATTCTGGAAGAGAAATCTCTATCTTTACTTTAAATGATAATTAAAAAAAGTCTTCCTGGTTGGACGAATTAAATTAAGAATTTGAATACGTCATTAAAATTTTCCTTCGATTTTTGTGAAATTTATGACTTAATATACGTAAAAGAAAGACGAAAATGTAGCAAAACCTTTTCTTTAGCTCGTTGTTTTGTTCCTTCTTCAATCCACTCTAGATTTTCTAACATATTTAAGAATGCAGTTCTAATATATCTAACCATCTCCAGTGCCTGAAAGGAAACGAAAATAGTTCTGAAAACTCATGTTATTAATTATTTCAACAGTTAAAGTACGTTACTTGATGACAGTAAAATATAATTTTTTTAAGCAAGAAAGGTTTATTTTTTCACACGTTACTTACTTAATTAGAGTAAAATATATATTTTTTTAAGAATTGTTTATGTTGTCTTCTGTTACTTAATTACATTAAAATATATATTTTTAGTAATTAAGTAAGAATTGTTCATGTTATTTTATGTTACTTAAAATAATTCTAGTAAAATATAATTTTTAAAGTAAGAATTATATTGTCTTATGTTGCTTAATTTCAGCAAAATATAAGCTTTTTTTCAAAGAAAGAATAGTTTATCTTGTCTTATGTTACTTAATTACAGTAAAATATTATTTTTAAAGTACGAATTATTGTACGCATCTTCTCATTTAGATAGTTCTTCACAAATGTATAGTATGCCTTATTATAGCCATAAGGCTAATGTGGTAAGCTGAAAGGAAGTTTCCACAAATGAAAGAGTTTATGGTTAATGACGAATTAACCACTTGCGGGGAATCGACTCGTATGCCAATTGATAGCCACCACAAGAAAAATTAACTTATAAATGCCTTGTTCTTTGAGTGTAATTAATGGCCAATTAGATAACGAGAGTGAGGATCTCTAGCAGCTATTTTAGTAAGTTAACATCATATTAAAGCCCTATTAATGCCAATATGCTTTTATTGCTTATAGATATTGTCAATATTGTTACGAAATGTAAAGGCGTGGTAAGATAGCTTCCCCGCGAAGCAGTTTTAGGGTTGCCACATTTGGCGTGAAATCGCCCATTTGGCGACAAAATTGGCGATATACCATGGACGGATGGAGAACCTTCTGGAACGAGTTCTTCTTACCGGTGTAGCCCAGAATGTTCTCGAACACAAGCCGAAAGCTATATAAACCCTACTGGTCCGCAGTCAGTTAGTGTGCGTCTCTCATTGAGTGTGTGTCTCCTCTAGCGAGTCAATCGCTGCGGAGTCGATCGAGTTGACAGCCGGGCAGCCAGAGCCGAGTGAGTCGTTGAGTGCACCGAAGGAGTCTGTTAGTGTAGCGCGGTTAGTGCATCGTCGAGAGAGCGCGTTGAGCTCCGGGAACGACTGAGCCGAAGACTCGGGAACCGTGCTCGTGTGTCGTCGAGTGCATCGCGAGTTGGAGCGTGGAGAGTCTCGAGAGTACGTGGAGTTCCGAGAACGACCAAGCAGAGTCGGGAGCTGTACTCCGGAAAGCAGAGTCGGGTGCTTTGCAGGAAGCTGTCTCCACCGTTATTGCCTGACAGTGTGAAGGCTGTGTTGCTGATTGTTCAAGCGTGTTTATAGTAGATCTTCGACGACTGTAAAAGTGTTTTGGAGCTATCCTGATTAATATTGATGAATAAAGTGTGTTTCGATACTTCATCCAGTGTCGTCGTTATTCCACTCCAAATCTACAAACCCCGTACGAACGTGAAGGAAGAAAATAATGCAACAACTGGTGTCAAAAGAATAAGAAAAACTGTAACCATGTACAAATGAAGACTTAAAATTAACTTATAAATGCCTTAATCTTTGATTGTAATTAACGGCCAATTAGATAACGAGAGTGAGGATCTCTTGCGGTTAGTTTAGTAAGTGAACATCATATTAAAGCCCTATTAATGCCAGTATGCTTTTATTGCTTACACAGAGGCTGTTGGCACATTTTTTAGACGATTTTGGTAAGCGGTAATAAAAATCGTTTTCTGCAAAAGAAGTAATTGCAATTGTACTATGTTTTTAAAAGTCAAAGTTAGCGCTTGTTGCTTGAAAGTTTTGTCATACTCGGCGCGTATTCGAGAGGTCCAGGTTCGAGTCCCGGCGAGGGTATTGCTCATTTTTTTATATCTTTTGCTTAAAACAACCTAATGTCGGCGCCCGAATTAAAAAGGTGGTGGATGATGATGCTTCACCATCAGGATTTGGCGATTGAGTCTCCTAATCCCCAGTCGCCGTTTAAAAGGGCGAGTATATAAGGTATCAGAAGTGGCCGAAAATTTTCTCGCTCCTTATTTCATGCCTTCGTGGTGTAACGGATAGCACACTCGGTGCGTATTCGAGAGGTCCAGGTTCGCGTTCCGGCGAGGGCATTGCTCATTTATCATATCTCCTGCTTAAAATAACCTGATGTCTCAATAGGCTATTAAAAACAAGACTGACTCAGCGTTTCTTAAAATTTCAAGAACGTTTGCTTTTCCTTTAATTCTCCAAGATGTCTCTTCTTTATTCGTGCAGGTTTTACTTCACTGCTGTCCGCTTTTTCCTAACTGTTTTAAGAAAGTTACAGCTGAAGGAAAGAATGATGCGCTGAATAAACCTAACAAAATCATGCTTTGTTGCATCTTTGCTATTAAAGCAAAATATAGTAAACCCCTTTGCCGAACGCGGTGTTTACGTCTTGAGCTTACTGCAAAATTGAAAGTCTCAGAACTGCAATAAGAAAACTCAATTTTTTATAGAACAAACGGGTTAGGTATATTTAAAATGTAGAACGAACTATACTAAATATTATTGTAATTGAAAAGAAAAATTAAATAAACGTTCACTGAAAGGATTTATTTTACTGCTAAATAAGCAGACACGTTATTAATTTAAATTAATAACGTGTTTAATTATAATTATAATTATTTTCGAACATTGCTGATAACTTTTTCTTGGGACAATAGCTGACGCAACTTATTAACGGTTCACGGTATGGAGAGCAAAGTTTATCAATTCCTCTCGTAAAGTTACTTTTCGCTCTTCATTTGGGTTAAAATCTTTTAAAAAATCAGATAGTCCTTGTGCCTTTTTTAGCAACTCGCTTACCTTCTTTGTACGTTAAGAGATCTTTACCTTCTTCACCACCGCAGCTTTCACCATCGGCTGGTGTTATAAGATATTTCATCCCTCAGGGGGCTCACTTTTGTGAGTACGGGTGTGGCAATCCCGAGGTACCCTAGCCCTTCAGGGGATCATCTTCTTGGTGAGACGGGTGTCACGATCCTGGAGCCCCAGTGATCTATCCTCTTTTCCGTCTCCTCTCCTCTTGGCTGGATCTTTTTCCCTTCCCTTCTCCCTTGTGGTTTCTCTCTACGGAGTTTGGGGCTCGTCACGAGAGGCTGGAACAGACCTTGTTTCTAGTTTTCAAGTGGCGAGAAAACTGCCCACGTGTTTGCCGTGCGTGGAGACCCGTGTGTCGCCGTGGCGCTGGAAAGGAGGGTCCTGGTAGTTGAGGGGCGAGGTACTGTCCCCAACACACTGCTTTGGCCTCTGCTTCAGCTAAACGGGAGGCACCTTAGTCGTCCTCACGGGTGTCAATCGGCTGGTCACTAGTCCTTGTGTCAGTGGCTTGGGGTCAAGCTCTCGGGAGTACCTGCTTTCGGGAAAGCCGACTGTGGGGCTTCAGTTTGCGTATAGGTCCGGCTAGCCCTAACACAGGAATCTGTGTTCCCTTGTTGGGCTCCGTGGTGGGCGGGGCCGTCGGACCCGAATCTTTATTCTTTCACTATGGCTTCTCATATTTACTTAATAAAAGATTTCGAGGTAACTCCAGTCACTCAAGTCAATCCTGTCACTCAAGTCACTCAAATCACTCCTGTCACTCAACCTAGTTCTGAAACTTCTACTCCTAAACCAGTCACTCAACCTAGTTCTGAAACATCTACTGTTAAACCAGTCATTCAACCTATTTCTGAAACGTCTACTGCTAAACCACTCACTCAACCTCACTCACCTATTCTGAAAAGTCTACTGCAAAAAAATTACGTACAGATACAAATGAAAAAAATCATAACAATAGTCCCCGTTTCCTAGTCATCTCTAGTCCTTCTGGCGAAATGCATAAGATGTCTCCTTTCGTAATAAACAAATACATCCAGTCCTTGTATTGGTGAGCCGAGAAAATATAAAGCGTCTCCGCTCCGGAGACTTGCTTATTGATACAAACCTCAGCCACCCAGTCTGCTTCTTTACTTCAGATAACTAAACTTGGGCAAGCGAATGTCACTGTAACACCACATAAGTCACTGAACTATTGTCGGGGTGTGTAATCTCAGAATTCGACCTTCTGTATGTTTCCTGAAGAAGAGATCGCTTCTGAGCTATCCGAACAAAATGTCTGCGGTGTAAGGCGGATCAAGATGCGTAAAGAAGGTAAGTTGATAGATACGAAACACGTGATCCTTACCTTCAACACGCCTGATCTGCCTAAGAATATTAAGGCCGGATATTTAAATATTCCTGTAAGACCTTATATTCCAAACCCTATGCGATGTTTCCAATGCCAGCGTTTCGGCCATTCTAAGACGTCTTGTCGTGGCAGCCTCACATGCGCCCGATGCTCACAGATTGGCCACGATTCTGAAAATTGTACCGCTGCGCCTCTTTGTATAAATTGCAAGGGTGAGCACCCAGCATTTTCACGCCTCTGTCCAAAATGGAAATTTGAAAAAGAAGTGCAGACTGCAAAGTTTACGAGGAACATCTCATATGCCGAAGCCAGAAGATTAGTCCAGAAGCACACAGCTTCGACCAAATACATCATACGCCAGTGCTGTTAAAATCATCTCGTACAGTTGCCACCCAAACATCAATAGGCACACAGACCCTAGCCAAATAAAACCCATCCGTCTACATCCAACAAGCAAAAAGAAAATGCAACCCATATAGTACAAAAGAAAGAAACAGTTATTCAAAGTAAGCCCAAAAACTTCTACACATAAAATATCCAATAAAAATAGAAGTCACAGCAATAGCTCTTTTGATGAGATGATTTCTGAATCTGCGGATTCAGACTTTATGGAAGTAGAAGAGGGTCTAGAAGTTCCCAGGCATCTACTTCCACGAAAAACAAAAGAACAGCACAGAAAAAACAAAAACCATTCATAATGGCCACCCTCATGTCATGGAACTGTCGCGGTTTCCACCGAAATTTGCTTGACATCAAATCTATAATAAATGTGTATCA